TAAGAGTAGGGTATAGTGGCTTATGCCTGTAATCCCAGCACTTTGGGAGGCTGAAGTTGGGAGGATCGCTTGAGCCCAGGAGTTTGAGATCAGCCTGGGCAACATATGGAGACCTTGTCTCTACAAAAAATAAAAAAATTAGCTGGGCATGGTGGCATGCGCTTGTGGTACCAGCTACTCAGGAGGCTGAGGTGGGAGGAACTCTTAAGACCAGGAAGTCAAGGCTGCACTGAGCTGTGATTGTGCCACTGTACTCCAGCCTGGGCAACAGAGTGTCCCTGTCTCAAAAATAAAAACAAATAAAATAAAATAATAAAATAGGAACAAATGACTGAAGTTTGAAAATACTCTGCTGTGATCTTGGTCCAAGTCTAGACTCTGCTCATTTTATCGACTTTTTTCTTCATGTGTGTGTATTCACATGTATGTTCTCCAAATCTGAAGATACTAATCCATCTCAAAACAAATTCATTTTCTCATGTTTTATGTTCAAACTATTGAACAACTGCTGTCATCTCACCTTTCCTCACTTGTACCTTGTCCATCTGTGAGCAATTCTTATTCGTTTTTAGTTCCCATCTAGCTTGGCTAACTACTAACAGACACATGCGTGGTGTTCTGAAGAACAGTTAGCTCATTCCTTTGAGTTCTTTTTAGAATGATAATTTGTAATTCATGTAAGACCCTGTACTTGCTTTCATTCATTCTTTTTTTGGAAACAGGCTCTCACTCTGTTGTTCAGGCTGGAGTACAGTGGCATGATCATGGCTCACTGTAACCTTGAACTCCTGGGATGAAGTGACCTTCCTGAGGCAGGACTATAGGCACATACCACCATGCCTGTCTAATTTTTAAATTTTTTATAGAGATGAGGTCTTGCTGTGTTCCCTTGGCTGGTCTTGAAGTCCTGCCTCAGCCACCAAGTTTTGGGATTATAGATGTGAGCTACTGCACCCAGCCCTAGACCCTGTTGTTTCCATTCAGACTTGTATTATTTTGAAAATATTCTGGGCTGAGTACAGTGGCTCACTTTAGCTCTGTTGCCCAGGCTAGAATGCAGTGGTATGATTATAGCTCACTGCATCTTTGAATTCCTGGGCTCAACCAATCCTACCTTTTTAGCCTCCTGAATTGCTGAAATTATAGGCATACCACAATGCCCAGCTATTTTCTTTAAAACAATTTTTTTGGTCCGTTTTTGTATTTTAAAAAAAGTTTGTTTTTAAGCAAAGAAAAAGTATTTTGGATAGCTGCTAAGATATGTAACACACAAAAATCAGACGTTAAAATGTAGGCATATGGTTTCTTACAAATAATCTCTAAGATATAAATGAGACGGGGGCTGAGGGGGGCGGATCACAAAGTCAGGAGATCTAGACCATCCTGGCTAACATTGTGAAACCCTGTCTCTACTAAAAATACAAAAAAAAAAAAAAAAAAAAATTAACCAGCCGTGGTGGTATGTGCCTGTAGTCCCAGCTACTCAGGGGAAAAACCCAGGAGGTGGAGGTTGCCTTGAGCCGAGACTGTGCCACTGCACTCCAGCCTGGACAACAGAGTGAGACTCTGTCTCAAAAAAAATGAGACAAGGACCATTTACTAATTACGAAAGTGAATCCATTAATTTATTCAACAACTATATTTTTAATCTGCATGAGATTGTGTATTAGGTGAGACTGCCAACCAAATTGTCAGCAGGACCTTTATTAATTTTCATCATCCTCTTGAATCAGCATAGAGATCAAGGGGCACATACTTAGTACAGAAGGTCAGCTCTATATCTGCAGATGAAGGCAGGTAATGGCCAATTAAGTATATGGGAAAACTCATGGGTCCAGTAGGAGAGTGGGACATTGAAACGGAATTAGGAAGATGGTGGACAAGGTGTGAGAGAGTAGAGCAGTGACTGGCTTTTGTAAGATTTTGGAAACGTGAGAAAGGGCCGGGTCATTGTGCAGCTGGGTGATACAGAATTTGTATATAGAAGAATTCTAGAAAATGATGCCCGGAGGCAGAGTAGGGCCACATATTAGAAAAAAAGCCATAAATCTTGCAATTGGAAGTTTGGTTTTGGAACTGAGAACTAGTAGGGCCTGATGCCTTGGGAAATACTTTGAACTTTCCTGTAGTAGGATTTCTTTCAGTGCAGCTGTATTTTAGAATAGTTTTGCTTTCTTTTAACAGAGTAGGATCTCCCCTTCTGTGTTGCTGACTGGCATACCAATTAGGCAGTTCTTAACTTTTTTAATGCTAGAGATTGTTCCTAAGCATTAGGCTTCTTGTTGATCTTGGTAGGTGGGTGGGGGTGGGGAGGGAATTATATTCAACTCGTTCCTGTTGATATACAGCTCATATTTTGTATTTTTTCCTTGGCCCTTTAGGCTGCACATGGTCCGTCTAATGCTGTTGGAGAGATTACTTCAGACCCTGCCTCAGTTACGAAACGTTGGCGGTGTCCGGGCCATCCCGTACATGCAGGTAACCCTTAGCTCATCTGGGTCTGTCACATGATCAGACCCTCCTTAAGCATTTCCGCATCTCTCTTCCAGGGGTCCTGGGAGTCTTCGTTCATTTGGTGTTAGGCCACAAAATAATGAAATCTAATTTTGAACTACAAATTATAGCTCTACATTTTATAAATGTGAAGGCTAAGGGTCAGAGAATTTTTTAAATGCACAAGTTTGTCCAGGTAGTTATTGACAGCCAGTGCAAAAGGCTGCTCCTGAGATTCTGAGTCTCTAGTCTTTGTGTCCATATTAGAGTGTGGGCTAATAGCTGTTCTTCCACTCACTGGCTGTCTTCCTCAGAGGAAAAACTGTTCTTTAATTCTTAGCTCAGTGCACCACCCTATCTCAAGCTACTTTGCTTGGATATAGTACAGGTTAGTCCATTAATTTTACAAACTTTTTACAAAACATTTTTTTGTAATGTCAAGTGCGGTATATATCAGAATTTGACTTTTCTGACTCTGAACGCTGAAGCTTTGGATAACTGGAATTTAGAATGCTATAATGGATTACAGTTATGATTGATAGGGAGGGATGGCAGGAAGGTTAGGGTTTCTTGTGAAACACCCTGTATTTTCAGTCGTTGTTCTTTAGGAAATTGGGTTTTGTGTTTTCTCTTTTTGACTTCTAGGTCATTCTAATGCTCACTACAGATCTGGATGGAGAAGATGAGAAAGACAAGGGGGCCCTAGACAACCTGCTCTCCCAGCTTATTGCTGAGTTGGGTATGGATAAAAAGGTAAAATCTGAGAGTCAATCTGTGTGAGAAACAGGATTGGCTGAGAGCCTTCCTTACGTTCCCATTCCTTTTGTAGAGGAACTTCACCTTGTTTCATGGGGTAACCATCCACTGAGGGCTCCAGTTCTATTGAATCAACAAAAGTGTATTCAGGGCCCGTTTTGGCCTAAGCATAGTTTTGGACCACGAGCATAATTGAGGGCAAAGATGAAGTTCTTACCCTCATGGACCTTTTGTACTCAGTGAGGTGAAAACATTAAATTAGTTGTTTGTATCTTAATGTGGTCTCCTAAGCGTATTGAGCTCTAGATGCCCCAAGTATAGTCCGTGGATATTCTGGGGCTTGTTTTGTCTCTGATTCAATCTGAGACTTTGGGGCTGATGGGTTTGACTTGAAGGAATCTTGTTTAGAGGTTGCCTCAAGCATCGAGTAAGTATAGGTTTCTGGGCTTATGCTTTTGTCTGCAGGATGTCTCTAAGAAGAATGAGCGCAGCGCCCTGAATGAAGTCCATCTGGTAGTAATGAGACTCCTGAGTGTCTTCATGTCCCGCACCAAATCTGGATCCAAGTCTTCCATATGTGAGGTATTTTTGCTTTGAGTTTGTGGGTTTGGGGAAAGGTAAGAGGATTGTCTGGGTAGTGCTAGGGCCAGGGCAGGGGTGATAGTCCTCTGTAAGAATAAAGCCATTGTTGCCTCAGGGGAGTAAGATTCTGAGCTGTCACCTTTTCAAGAGCAGAACCTCCACCTTTTTCCGAATCCCTTCCAAGCCCTAGTCTTTGCTAACAATCCCCCCAATGGAGGGGTAAAAGGTTTTGGAAGTTCCATTATTGAAAAGCAGGGGCCTCTTCTGCAAGGCACAGAGTGGCTAAGAGGATTCCCCTAGTGTATGTTGCTATAAGGTATGGTAATAAAGCAGAGAGAACGCAATGTGTGTGTGGTGAAAGGAGATTAGCACAAAGCAGAGAAGGTAGAAATTGAGGCTGAACTGCATCCAATCTTAATGAGCTTAGGAGCTGTGGGGTTTGCTGGGATTTGCAAGGCTCTTCTAATGGTCTTATTTACAGTAGCTTTTCTCCTGCTTTTTTACGCATGTGATCACTCACCCCCATCTCCTGTGGAAGCTGGTTCTGTGGAAGAGACTCTGCAGAGGGTGGGGTGGGGTTGTTTAGACGTGCCTATAATGGAAAGTTTTCTCTCTCCTTTTTGGATTGGGCTGCTTTTCTAGTTGCTCAAGGTAAAAGAGAAAAGCTGTCCCTTCTAGGGGGAAAGGTTATCTAATCCTTGCCTCCCTGGACTCTGGCACGTGTATGTGGCAAGGTTAGAGTTGAGAACAGGTGTGTTTCTTTGTTTATCTTACCATGTGGTTGTTCAAAAAGTTCTGAACACCCTCACAAACTTCCTTGGGAAAGTTTCAGTGCAAGAGCCTGATTCACTCACTGCCATAATAGCTAAGACTATTGTGAGTGTGTTTCCCACCCTCAGCACCCTCCCGGATTTCACATTGTTTGTACAAGCCATTCTTACCATTGCTGTGTTTTCTGTCTCCCAGTCATCTTCTCTCATCTCCAGTGCCACAGCAGCAGCTCTCCTGAGCTCTGGGGCTGTGGACTACTGCCTGCATGTGCTGAAATCACTGCTGGAATATTGGAAGAGCCAACAGAATGATGAGGAGCCTGTGGCTACCAGCCAGTTGCTGAAACCACATACTACCTCCTCCCCACCTGACATGAGCCCATTCTTTCTCCGCCAGTATGTGAAGGTGAGATCTTTCCCTCATCAAAGAAACATTCTTGTCCTTTGTTCAGAGCACTCTTCTCTTTCCTCACAGTGAAGACAGCTCAAGGGGCTGAGGGTGAAGAGCCATAGGAAGGAGCTGGCATTCCTTGGTAGGGGTTAATCTCAGCGTTATTTAATAAATGACTGCTTCTTCCAACCTTCTGTGGGATTCTGGTTCCTGCCTCTTTGTAAATTGAGGGAATTGAATGAAATCATAGTTATCTCATTTCACATTAGGTTTAGAAAAAGATGAGAAGGTATAAGCTAATGTCACAGTTGTGGGTCATGATGTGTGTGTTGGACATTCCCTGTGCTGTCACCACTGAGAGGCCCTTTAACATACTTATTAAGAAAGATGGGCCTTCGGATCAGATTGATCTGGGATAAGTCCCATCTTGTATTCTTCTTACTTACCAGTCTTGAAGCGTGGAGAAGTTCTGTCTGTCTAACCTCACTAAGCTTCAGCTTCTACAGCTGGAAAATGAGCATACACATAGTATCTACTTTACAGGGCTGTTGTGAGGTGACATTTGTAAAGGACTTAGCACAGTACCTAGAATGGATCAATGCTCAGTCCATGTTAACTGTTGTCATCACTCTCTTCCTCACTGCCCACTCAGAATAGCTTTGAATAGGGTAGGAATACGATAGGCATCAAGTGTGGATCTGATCGTATCTTGCTCTTTTTTCATGAGTCTTTGGTGGTTTTCCATAACTTACAGGCCAAAAAGTTCTTGAGGACCCAGCTACCTGCTTGACTCTATAGCTATGTCACCTATAACACCCTACACGCAGCCCTCTCAGCCTGTGCATTTCCCAAGATGTGGTGTGTTGCCTTTGTTCATGCTGTCCCTTCTGGAATTCTTTCCTTTCCCTCTGCTCCCCTTTCTTCCCCTGTCTAGCGAATTCCAAGGCCTTCTTCAAGACCCAGCACAGGCTTTGGATCCTTGGGAAAACCTCCCTAATACACACTCCCTGCCATTAAGTCTGCTTGAGGGAGCCTCGTCCTGGGTTCCCCGAGCATCCTGTGCACTCATTCACCTATCTTCCCCTCCATACTCTCAGCGGAAACCACATTTTATTCCTATTTACAACTCCAGTGCTTGACACAGAGCCAATGAGTAACTGGGAATTGAATATATGAGACACACTGTGCCCTCAAACTCTTACAGATTCTTTTACCACACAGCTTGCAGGATAGCTGTTGTTTCCACTGTCCACAAATCTCTCATTTACCCCTGCCTTTTTGTGTTATGTGAAGCCAGGAATCTTGACTGAGTTTAGTGATTTGCCTGCCTTAGTTTATTTAACAATTGCTGTTATCATGGGAAATTTTGGTTCTAGGGAATAGAATGCATCTCATAGAAGTTAGAGATCCTTACTACCATTTTTTTTTTTCAATTATTTTGGCCTTTCTAGTACTCATCTTTAAGCAGAATACAGTCAACCCAATGTCAAAAACCACAGAGTGAAATATTAAGACTTTTAGGAACAGTGAGGTCTGCCTCCACTGTAACCTTTGCATGTAATTAAATTGTCCCCAGAAGCCCGGTCTTCTGGGTTTGTAGAATAAACTGTCAGTCAGTCTTGGTTCCAGTTCTGAAAGGTACCCTTTACCACCTCTAACATGCAGTATGTCTAGTGACCAGTGAGCCAGCCTTTTTCCTAATTGTGGACCTGGAAAATCGACAGTCACAGGTTCTCACGCAAGTTTTCCTCTCCCAGGGTCATGCTGCTGATGTGTTTGAGGCCTATACTCAGCTTCTAACAGAAATGGTACTGAGGCTTCCCTACCAAATCAAAAAGATCGCTGACACCAATTCTCGAATCCCTCCTCCTGTCTTTGACCATTCATGGTTTTACTTTCTCTCCGAGGTAAGTGAAGGTCCAAGCTGCGTGCTTGTTGGGCTGAGGACACACATGCATTTGCCTCTGTGGGCCCCTTTCTTCCTCATCCTCACTTGGTATTTCCCCTTGCAGAGTCCCTTTCACACTTCTAGGTCTTAGTCTTGCCCTTCTGGAATATACTGTGTGGTAGAACTGTGGGAGATGTGTATCAAACAAGCCATACTTTACCTTGTGATTGTGTGTGTTGAACTCTCCCACATGTGCTGATAACCAGCAAGTTTAATAATTTAGGTTCTGTCAGGAAAACAAACTATACTAGTTATCTTAACAGAGAAATTTCAATATGGGAAATTGGGTAAATGCTGTTGGACAACAAGAGAGGAAACATTGAGGTAACACAGGGATAGTAACTGCCCGAAGCAGCTATCAGGAAGCTGGTGCTCTGCAGGGATGGGATGTAGCTGATTCTGGGAGCGGTGAGAGAGTCTGATGATTAGAACTCATTGTGGCTGTCAGGGTGCAGGGCTGTTGCTAGGACTGCAGGAAGATGGGAAGAAGCAAGCCCCTTCCTCCTCCTGCTGCCAGGCTCCCTCCCTCTTGGCAGAACTTGAGAGGGAGCCAGCTGGCAAAGAAGCAGTGCACTTGACATAATTCTAGCCTGGGCATCACTGGGCAGAGTCGGTGATGGGGGGGTTGGGAACTGAGAGACAATAGCGTAATAACCTTAGTAACCAGCACAGCAAGCCTGAGATAGATTCACTCTGGGAAGAATAATCTCTTAGCAAACCTCAGATGAGGATTTCCAGTTACATAGTTGTACCAACTCAATCTTTTCTTTTGCTCTTTTACCTGAAAAAGAGATTTGGAATGGTTTTTTTCTTGATAGTTTCCCTTTGGGTGGGCTGAAGTAGAGGCCAGTTGCCCTGTAGATTCCTAAGTGCACAAGGAAGAGATGCATGAATGTTGATACTTTCCTCTTTGATTTCTTTCTCTCTCTTGCTTTCTCCTGGTCCCATGAAAAGATACTTAAGTCCAAGAGAGGTTGGTCTGGTGAAGAGGAAATAGCTTGGTTTGTGTTTCCCTCCAGCTTTTCTTTTTTTAGAGATGCAGTCTCGCTCTGTCGGCCCAGGCTGGAGTGCAATGGCACGATCTTGGCTCGCTGTGACCTCCGCTCCCTGGGTTCAAGCAGTTCTCCTGCCTCAGCCTCCCTACTAATTGGGATTACAAACATGTGATACCATGCCCAGCTAATTTTTGTGTTTTTAGCAGAGATGGGGTTTCACCATGTTGGCCAGGCTGGTCTTGAAATCCTGACCTCAAGTGATCAGCTCGCCTTGGCCTTCCATAGTGCTAGGATTACACCTGTGAGCCACTGTACCCAGCCTCTCCCCAACTTTTAATAACAGTTTATTAAAACCTAGGATGTGAGAGCCACAGTTGATATAGATACAGTCCCAGAGTCATTTACTCTTTGTGTTGTTTGTCTCCTCAAGTACCTAATGATCCAGCAGACTCCATTTGTGCGGCGTCAAGTCCGCAAACTTCTGCTCTTCATCTGTGGATCCAAAGAGAAGTACCGACAGCTCCGGGATTTGCACACCCTGGACTCTCACGTGCGTGGGATCAAGAAGCTGCTGGAAGAGCAGGGGATATTCCTCCGGGCAAGTGTGGTTACAGCCAGCTCAGGCTCCGCCTTGCAATATGACACACTCATCAGCCTGGTACGAGAGCTGGGACCTGGTAGGGTAGGGAGGGGGCATGTGATGAGGCTTTGCCAAGTAGGTAATGGGGTGGAGGTGATAACGCAGGACTTTTAACTGTGTTGACAATGGCTAGTTAGGGTTGAGATGATGGTAACCCCTACCTGGGTGCTGTATCGTGTGGTTGGCTTCAGGGTCTCGGATGTCCCCCTCGGCACTCTCGTCTCACCTGGCAGCAGTTCCTCCACTGTGAGGGGTGTCGCTTGGGCTTATCAGTGCCATTTGCTTACATCCTGGGCAGGATTGACCTCTTTGTTCAACTCTGGTTTTTTCTTTTAAATACTAAAGAAATAGTGAAGGTTCGACTAGAAAAATGCATTACTGCCTAAAGAGAAACTGTTTGGACTTACGGGAGTAAACTGAGTATTTCGTATGTGAATAGCCTAGAAAGAACATCTTTAATCCAGCTGTCTCGTGTCCTTGCTATTGTGTTTATATCAAGAAAAGTAAACTTGATTGTACTTTCTTAGGTCATGGTCTAGCTTTTGCTGTTGCCTTATTGAGTAGTCTGAAGGTTCCCTGAAAACAGAGGGCCTTCCATGGGGATTGGCGGGTAGAACAAAGGCAGGTTCAGTAAGAGCTGCAGTGCTTGCAGCAGTGTGTGAGCCTTGGTCCCAGGTTCACCGGACATTCCAGCAAGCACCTGCCTTGCTCAGAAGACCATGTTCGGCTTGCAGCCCAAAGCCAGGGCGATGGCTTCAGCTAGCAGGCGTGGTGCTTGTCCGGGCTACATGGTGGAGTTACTCATTTTCCCTGGTTGGTTCCTATTTCAGATGGAGCACCTGAAAGCCTGTGCAGAGATTGCCGCCCAGCGAACCATCAACTGGCAGAAATTCTGCATTAAAGACGACTGTAAGCAATGCTGCTCCTTTTGATTGCTGTTATTCAGGAACTGTTAAGGCCTACTATATGCCAAGGACCTAACTGGATGCTGGAGATACAGCTATGAACAAGATACATAGACTAGACAGAACCCTGTCTAGCAAAGAAGACAAGTAAAAACGTGAAAGAGTGATAAGCGCTGATAGTCAAAGTTTGAGGTGCTATGGAAGCACAAAGTGGGATACTTTGACCACCAGGTAGTGGCAGTAAAGCCAAAGAGGAGTAGGTGGAGTCTAGAGAACCCTTTATTTAAAGGAGCAGGGGCTCTGGTTGGTGCGTAGTTATAATGCTTTTCAGAGATTTCCACAGAAAGTATAACTTCTTCACAATGTTCAGCAGAAAGAACATGGAAAAGAAAGCTGGTGAGAGAAGGCAGTCTCAGCTGTATGGAGATGTTGCTTTGGTTCTTGTGAGTCTGGTTGAGGTCTTCTCAGAGCTGAGCCGCTGTCTCCTCTGCTTGCAGCCGTCCTGTACTTCCTCCTCCAACTCAGTTTCCTTGTGGACGAGGGCGTGTCCCCAGTGCTGCTGCAGCTGCTCTCCTGTGCTCTGTGCGGTAGCAAAGTGCTCGCTGCACTGGCAGCCTCTGCGGGGTCCTCCAGTGCTTCTTCCTCCTCAGCCCCTGTGGCTGCCAGCTCCGGACAAGCCACAACACAGTCCAAGTCTTCCACTAAAAAGAGCAAGAAAGAAGAAAAAGAAAAGGAGAAAGACGGTAAGGGTCACCCTCTTGTCATTGTGACCACAGTGATGTGCCTAAATCTCTCTTGGATCACATGATTTGTTCTGTTGTAAAAGGTCTTTTAATCCTGATTTACAGGGGACCTAAAACCCAAATGTTCTCTAGTGTCTACTTTGGGTCTCATTTTCAATTATACTGAAGTGACACCTTAAACAGCACAACTTCTCATGCCAAGTGACAGTAATAGGAAAAGTCAAAGTGCACTGAATATTTTTAGTAGGCCAAGATTTCTTATTCTGTGAAATAATAACACCTGCTCTATGGAACTCCCATCAGAGTTATGTGAAATGATACTTAGTACATTGGTAAATGCTCAGTGAATGTTAGTTGTCTTAGCTGACCCTCACCATCAACTGCACTGTTTTCTATGTTCCTTGGAGATCTCAGATAGGTGATCAGGGTTGAGAGCAGTGGTGGTGGTTCACATTCCTCCAGTTAATGATCAGACATCTCTGTGCAGGCCTATTGCAAGCTCTTGAAAGGAAATTCCTCCTCTGGTGTCACTGTATTTGTTCAGTGTCAGCTTACATAACACTTTGTGGTTTTCAGTGACATTATCATATGCCTCATCTGAAGGCAGTTGTGCTCACCACTGCATCACCAGTGCTGCACATATGTCTCATTTGGGGCTTACCTATTTGTCACCCAGTAAACAACTAAAAATTGTTTTGCAGAATATCAGCTTTCAGTAGAAACTTTTAGAAATGGACAGAGTTCCCTCTCTCCCCATTTGGTAGCCCAGGCCTTAGGACTCTAGAGGACTTCTTCCTACTCTTCAGCCCTCAGTCCTGTTTTAATCTTGCAGGTGAAAGCTCTGGCAGCCAGGAGGACCAACTGTGCACAGCTCTGGTGAACCAGCTGAACAAAGTTGCTGATAAGGAAACCCTGATCCAGTTCCTGCGTTGCTTCCTGTTAGAGTCCAATTCTTCCTCAGTGCGCTGGCAGGCGCACTGCCTGACGCTGCACATCTACAGGTGGGCCCAGGGCTTGGTTAGGCAGACCTGCAAGGGTCTGAGGCCAGGGTGCATAAAGCAGTTCCGTTTTGGTTTTTGGTTACATACAGGCATAGAATCGGTAGTTACGCCAGCCTGAATCCTCTTGTGCTTTAAAGATTTCTTCATTGTTGTCTGCTTTTTAGCTATTAAACTCATGTCATAGGCAAGAGAGGATCTGTTTTCTACTCAGAAGGCTGTGTTTTGGGGGTTTTTAAATCATCAAGCTGGACTCTTTAGGCTAAAAAAGCTCAGTTGCTGCTCTGGGGTATACTGGGTGATGTATAGAGGCAGCAAATGACTGTGGTGTCTCTGTTAGGGGTGACTGTCAGAAGAGAAAGAAAATCATTCAAACTTAATCCATAATTGTGGGGAAATAGATAAATTTACAAAAACAATACCAGGGCCTCAGTGATAAGCACAGGTGCCTCAGGGTTTTCTGCTGCTTGGTAACATGAGCTTTCATCTGTCTACAGAAATTCCAGCAAATCTCAACAGGAGCTCCTGCTAGATCTGATGTGGGCCATCTGGCCAGAACTCCCAGCCTATGGTCGTAAGGCTGCCCAGTTTGTGGACCTGCTAGGCTATTTCTCCCTGAAAACGCCACAAACGGAGAAAAAGGTAATAGTTGCTTTATGGTCAGAGAGGCTAACTTGCCATATTTTACCTTTTTTTCTCTTGAGTTAAGAATATTATGAACAACCCAGATACAGGGAGTCCATATAGGAAATCTCTTTTAAATATATCTAGTTTTGCATTTCTTGTTAAGCAGCATAATATGTCTATGATGTAGACAGTATTCACTAGCAAATTTGACTTAACACATGAAGTAGGTCAAGTATGGAAAGAAGATAAAACTTACTAAAGTTCTTTGGAAAAGAAAGTGCTCCTTGGTTTGCTGGTAGCCCTGATTATGTACCAGAAAATGTTTCTGCAATTAGCCAACTATTTTATGGCTTCTCCATAAGAATAAAAATGATCTTCCTCCATCAGGTTGGGAAAGGGTACCATCTATCACTAAAGACTGTGGAAACTTCTAAAGGAAATAGAATGCATTAAATGATTAAAATTAGGCCCAGCTTTGTGTGATTCAGACTGAGAAGTCTGGTATGTTTAGGGCAGTATTTGGCTAGAATGCAGAAGACAAAAGTCTTTTCCAATAAGACTTTCTCTTGGGCTTTAACTTGTTTCTTTACTGAATTCTGTTTCAGTTGAAGGAGTATTCACAGAAGGCTGTGGAGATTCTGCGGACTCAAAACCATATTCTTACCAACCACCCCAACTCCAACATTTATAAGTGAGCTTTGTTTTGCTGTCTACCTGTTGGAAGCTCAGTCAGCATTCTGAGTAGTTATTTGCATGTTGATAGGCTCTTACATAGGAATTAGGAATTGACAAGCCCCTGGGAGAAGAGTGAATCTGCCTACTTGAGATTCTAATCCCTTCCATGTAGCCCAGGGTCTGGTACGTAGAAGGTACTCAAAATGCCATTGCTGAGTTCAGGGTTTGGTGAGTAGTCATGTAAAAAGTTCTGTATACCCTGGGCAACATAGTGAGACTTCATCTCTACAAAAAATTTTTAAAAAGTGAGCCAGGTGTGGTGGCGTGTTCCTGTGGTCCCAGCCGCTAGGGAGGCTGAGACAGGATGATGGCTTGGATGCAATGAATTGTGGTCCGCACCACTGCACTCCAGCCTGAGTGACAGAGCGAGACCTTATCTCAAAAAAAGAGGTCTTTAGTTTTAAGGGTTTAAGCCTAAATAAGATAAAACAAATTTAAAGAAAATGTCTTCCGTTTTTTTTAAAAAAAAACCTTTATTAGAGGATATTGGTTAAATTGACAATTTATTATTTCTCTGGTTTAGTAGTGACTGTTCTTTAAAAAAAAATTAAAAATAATTTTAATGAGTTAATTTATGTATCCACCTATTTTAAATGTACAGTTCAATGATTTTTAGTAAATTTAATTGTGACTCTTGAGACTACTTTTTAGAGTTCCTCTGAAGGATAGATCAAAGATGAGGAAACATCTAAGGGCAGTTAGTCGAAATTTCTTTCCTGTGACTTTGTAATCCTATTGGAATTTCTCCTGTTTCCTTGAGTTCTCACTAGGGTGCGGCTCACTTTGGGGGATATTGAGCCATGGCTTTGTTATGACTTTTTTGTGAAGCTCAGTGCTTCCTAAGATGAAAATTTATTCATGCTAAAACTGGTTTCTTCCTTAGCACTTTGTCTGGCTTAGTGGAGTTTGATGGATATTACCTGGAGAGCGATCCCTGCCTGGTGTGTAATAATCCAGAAGTACCGTTCTGTGTAAGTAACATCTATAACATGGACAATCCTGAGGCTTACAAGTCCTGTGGGATTCTTGTTTCCAGAGATTGATTGTTAGCACATAGATGTTCCTCTCCTAATCCTTATCTGCCACATCTTTTACCTTAAATAGAAACTTGGCTAGGTACAGTGGCTCAAGCCTATAGTCCCAGTACTTGGGGAGGCTAAGGTGGGAGGATCCCCTGAGCCCAGGGCAAGATGATGAGACCCTATCTCTTTTTTCTGATTGTCCCTCCAGGATACAAACATTTTTTTAAAAAAATTAAATAGAAATTTCATCTGTGGATGAAGAGTGGGTTACATTGATTAATTTTTTAAAAGGCAGTACAAGTCTTGAACTAATACCATGTTTTTTGAACTATTGTATTTAGTATATCAAGCTCTCTTCCATTAAAGTGGACACGCGGTACACCACCACCCAGCAGGTTGTGAAGCTAATTGGCAGTCACACCATCAGCAAAGTGACAGTGAAAATCGGGGATCTGAAACGAACCAAGATGGTGCGGACCATCAACCTGTATTATAACAACCGAACCGTGCAGGCCATCGTGGAGTTGAAAAACAAGTACGGGCTTTTAGGCTTTGGGAGGGGCAGCAGGTCTGTAAGTCTCAAGCTTAGTTGCTGCCTTTGGTTCCTGGAATGGAGTAAGGCAGCACATCCCTAGAAGCCTAGTACGTCCTCTTGTCCACTCCATTCCTAGCCCATGTATCCCAGTGACTGAGTCAGGGCATGTTGTGTATAGGCCACGAGAAGCACTAACGTGTTACAGTGTTGACTTTCACAGAGACAGATCACCTTTTGTTGAATTCTCAGGCATTGCTACTGGATGGAGAACACAGGTCGATGCTACTTGAATAGTAAGACTTAGAGAGTTGTTCTGCACCCAGGATGAACACAGGTCGATGCTACTTGAATAGTAAGACTTAGAGAGTTGTTCTGCACCCAGGATGAAAGTATTGCTATTATTCCAAGAGGCAGATAAGGCTCTTGGACCACGGCAACAAGTGGCCACGAAAGCTGCCTAGGGAGGTTTTCTTTTCTTGCCTTGAAAAGCCCAGTTTCACCTTGGTGACCTGAAAGTCGATGCTGCACATTAGGAGGGCCCATTCCCCTCCAGAGGAGGTGGGTTTGATTTTTGCTGTGTGGAGTCAGCAGAGCTGCTGGTAGACTATTTGGATTCAGATCCCAGCTCTACTACGTAGCTCTGTGACCTTGGAAAAGCTGCTTAACCTCAGTTTCTATATCTATAAAATGGAGATAGGGCCCCATTTCCAGGGTTTTATTTTAAGGATTAAATGAGTTAGTATATGTCAGGTGCTGAGAACAGAGCCTAGCACATAGTAAGTACTCCGTAAATATTAGCTCTCATTATGTTAATATAATCACTTCCAAATTATTATTTACTTTCCTATTTATGACTTGACTTAGCACTTGGTTCAGACCCTGGCTTTGTTCCTCTGCCTCTCTAAAACAGCCCAGCTTTATCTTTCCAAGGTTGCTGTCAGGATGGGAACTTGGCGGCAAGCATCATCGTTGTACCTCTTGCAGGCTTCGGTGTGGCATGCTTTTGGAGTAATGATTTCCCTTTTTATATACTTGTTGTTTTCCTGGAATTTCTAAAGGTATCATATATAACAGCTTAAAGCACTTGTATGTTCTTTTCTTTTTTTATAGAGAAAAGATAGTGGAAAACTTTTTTTAAACTGGCTTGCTATTATATGCCAGATTTCTCTTCCTTGGAGTAACCACTAATTGCCTTAGAAAAATACATAGGACAGTCTTTCTCTTTGTCTCATCAGACTGTTATCACTGAGGGTTAGATAAAAAAATCTCAAGGCCACCTGTTTGTCCTAGGCCAGCTCGCTGGCACAAAGCCAAGAAAGTTCAGCTGACCCCTGGGCAGACAGAGGTGAAGATTGACCTTCCGTTGCCCATTGTGGCCTCCAACCTGATGATTGAGTTTGCAGACTTCTACGAAAACTACCAGGCCTCCACAGAGACCCTGCAGTGCCCACGCTGTAGTGCCTCAGTCCCTGCCAACCCAGGAGTCTGTGGCAACTGTGGGGAGAATGTATACCAGTGTCACAAATGCAGGTAAGTCGGTGGCTGTCCCCTAGGCCAGGGCTGTGCACTTTCCTTGTATTTTTCTCTAACAGTGTCAGTGTGAGCAATTACAGTGTCTGATTCCCTCATAACATTTAGAGTATGGGTTTGTAGAGTGGGTTCAAGGGTAGAAAGGGAGGAGGAAAAAGAGAGTCAGTGTGTGTGTGTGTGTGTGTGTGTGTGTGTGTGTGTGTACACGAGTATGCCTGTTCCGTGGCAGGGGTGGAGGGTTAGGGTGGAGGGCAGTCCAGAAGTTTAGTTCTGGGTCTTGCTTTCTTGGTACCTGGCTGTTTAAGTCATTTGTTATTGTCCCTTCAGTAGGCCCTGCAGTAGTTACCGGAGTATAGAGATATGGCACAATCCATCTCCTCAGAGCGATCCCCACCCCACCCAACCTTGTCATCTCACTCACCCAAACGCTTTGGTTACTCAGATCCATCAACTATGATGAAAAGGATCCCTTCCTCTGCAATGCCTGTGGCTTCTGTAAATATGCCCGCTTCGACTTCATGCTGTATGCCAAGCCTTGCTGTGCAGTGGATCCCATTGAAAATGAAGAAGATCGGAAGAAGGTGAGGCCAGGTCTGGCCTAGACTCACCGCAGTGGCCTTGGTCTGGACTTTGGGCAGAGCTGGTGCAGTGCAGTGTGCTTTGCTTTCTAGCCCAAGCCTTCCTTGACTCAGCACCAGTTTCAGGGCCCAGCTTTTGGGTGGGAGCAAAGAATGGCGTAAGATGTGTTGGAACACATGGTTTGCATAGGATTTTAGAAAAGCGTTGGTCGGTAATGAAATTAGAGTATCTCCAGGTACAGATAACTTTGGATTTGAATGTTTTGCTCTGTGTTTGTTCCACAGACTGCTTCATATTGAGGCTGCTGGCCCTCCCTCAGTGTTAGCTTGTCCAGTGCTACTTCCCAGTCAGCATAATGTGTGTGTGTGTAGAGGGGGGGTCCTAGATATTAAGGAACAGTGAAAAGGGGGCACCTATTGGGATAACAGAAGAACATTTAGCTTTGGAGTCAGGACAGAAATTCGAATTCCACCCAAACTTTTAATGCTTGTGTAACCTGGTATAAGTTACTTCTCTCAGCATTGTGTTACTGTATATCACAGATATGTATTGCATTGTTATTAGAAATAATATACCCACCTCACAGGAAGGATTATTGTGAAGAACAGAGATAATGTATGAAACACAGTGCCTGACCCATGGGAAATGTTCTAGTCAATGGTTAGCAATTAGGATTACTCAGGGAAAGCTGTCAGCAAAAAAACCTTTGCTCAGGTCTGTCTTTTTCTGTCTAGGCTGTATCCAACATCAATACACTTTTGGACAAAGCTGATAGAGTGTATCATCAGCTGATGGGACACCGGCCACAGCTGGAGAACCTGCTCTGCAAAGTGAATGAGGCAGCTCCAGAAAAGCCACAGGTAATTATCCTAAGACTACCCCTAGGTGAGATCACCTTAGGTGGGAAGCCTGACAGCTTACCTCTTGGGGTTGCAGGATGACTCAGGAACAGCAGGGGGCATCAGCTCCACTTCTGCCAGTGTGAATCGTTATATCCTGCAGTTGGCTCAGGAGTACTGTGGAGACTGCAAGAACTCTTTTGATGAACTCTCCAAAATCATCCAGGTAGAGAGTGGGGAGCAGCTTTTGGGTATGTTTTGTCCGAGTGTTACTGGCATTGTCTTCAAAGCAGTCCTGCTGCTCTCTCCTCCAGCAGCCCAGGTCTTGGTGGTGTTCCTGCCTAGTCCAACTGAAAAGGCAGGCAGATGGCTGCACCGACAGCATCTCCCTGGGTGATTTATGGCCCTGGTCAGAATGCTGAGTTCATGCTAGATAACTGAGAATACTGGTGATGGGAAGGTAACACAGATATGGGTTTTTTTAAAGCCATTAACAACCCATCTCTTGGTAGAGGGGTTACTGGTCTTAAAAAATTTGATGCCAAGGTTCTATTCCTCTTTTTCTGATATGCTGTGTTTGCAGGCTGTAGGGCAAGGCACACCAACTGCAATCAAGCAGGGTGGGCCATGTGTCAGTTGCAACGTCACAGACCTAATCTCCGTGGGATGGGAGGCTGGCCATAGACAGTGGTACCTCATATAAGGAGAGCATCCAGTTTACCTTCCCCCTCAACCCCAGATTGCTGGAGTGCCATCTTTGGCACACGTGTATTAGCTTCTGACCTTTGCCTTTGTTACATGGGAGTTAAGAGCATGAGCCCGGCATCTGAGTCTGAGTTCTAATTCTGTCACTTACCTTGGTTAAGCCAGTTCCTCCAAGATTCGCTTTCCTTCTCTGTAAAATGGAGATAAAGCATCTAACTGGCTGAGTTATTGAGCAGATTAAATTATATTATGCATGTAAATTTTTTTCTAAAGCAAAACTCAATTTTCCAGTCAACATCCTCTTCTTATTTTAATTGCCAGTTTCCATTATTGTTGCGTTTTTTGTTCCTAGAAAGTCTTTGCTTCGCGTAAAGAGTTGTTGGAATACGACCTACAGCAGAGGGAAGCAGCCACTAAATCATCCCGGACCTCCGTGCAGCCCACGTTCACTGCCAGCCAGTACCGTGCCTTATCTGTCCTGGGCTGTGGCCACACATCCTCCACCAAGTGCTACGGTTGCGCCTCGGCTGTTACAGAACATTGTATCACACTACTTCGGGCCCTGGCCACCAACCCAGCCTTGAGGCACATCCTTGTCTCCCAGGGCCTTATACGGGAGCTCTTTGATTATAATCTTCGTCGAGGGGCTGCGGCCATGCGGGAGGAGGTCCGCCAGCTCATGTGCCTCCTAACTCGGTCAGCACCTACACCATGGTTATAGGCCTAGTGGTTCCTACTGACACGCAGGATGGTGGCAGCAGCCATGCCAGGAGCATTAGAGGGTACACAGAATAGTGCTTCTGACTGCCTGACAGGTTAGGTAGCTTATAATAGAGGAAAGATGGAAAGGTACACAGGGTGTAGGTGAGCGAGCTTGGGGAGCATTAAAACCCAGGTTTCCTTGTAAATGGCATGTTCGGCTTGTGCTTTGTTGGCTCCAATACAGTGTCATGAGGAAACTGTCTCTGAGTCCTCATGAGAGAAAAGAAAGGGAGAGATTTGAACTTTAGAAAGACTCACATGAAAGAAGATAGTGGAGCAGAGCAGTGGGGAAAGACTCAGTTTCAGTATCTGATACCTTGTACTATACACATTGGACATATTCCTTAATTTCTCTGAGCCTATGTTTTCCTCATCTGAAAAATACTGACAACAGGTACAGTAGCTCTTGCCCATAATCCTAGCACTTTTGGAGACTGAGGCTGGCGGATCACTTGAGTTCAGGAATTCAAGACCAGCCTGGCCAACATGGTGAAACCCTGTCTTCATTAAAAATACAAAAATTACCCAGGCGTGGAGCATGCCTGTAATCCCAGCTACTTGGGAGGCTGAGGCAGGAGAATTGCTTGAACCCAGGAGGTGGAGGTTGCAGTGAGCTGAGATGGCATCACTACACTCCAGCCTGGGTGACAGAGCGAGACTCCGTCTCAAAAAACAAAAACCTGACAATAATAAATACCTTAAAGGCATGTGGTTGTGCAGTAAAGAACTCATACATGTCTAGTGCTTAGTATGTCCCAGGTCCTGCAGCCAGAGCTATGGGGATTACCTTGTGTGGCATAAATTCTAGAACATGTTAGGTGCTTGATAAATGATACTCGCTATATTATTTATTCACTAATTTAACAAGTATTTATTGAGCAGCTGCTGAATGCCAGGCATTGATACAGACTCTGGGGATATAGTGGTAAATGGAATGAAGTTCCATCCTTATGTGGCTTATATTCTACATGGGGAGAACTGCACAATATAATGTCAGGAAATAATATTGTGAAAAAAAATAAAGCAGGGATGGTGACCCTGAGTGCAGGAAGACGTGCTGTTTGGATAAGGTGGTCAAGAAGCACTTTGCCGAGGAGGTGATACTTGAGCAAAGACCTGTGTGAAGGAAGGGGCCAGCCATGGCAGTGTTTTCAGCAGTGGGCTGCATGCCTAGGAAGTAGCAAATGGGGAGCTGAGAGCAGGCACATGTTGGGACTGCTAGGGCACGACAAGGAGCCCCTGTAGCTGGAGACGGATGCAGGAGGAGGATCAGGTGGGAGGGTGCGAGGGCCCGTCCCATAGGGTCTTGTGGGCCTGTATAAGGACTTTGGGGCTTATTCAGTATGTTGGGAAGTAAGAGTGAAGTGATATGGTTTGGTTTGTGTCATTAATAATAGGAACATTGTTACAAAAATACATCAACTGGCATGTGGAGGCCTTGTGGAAAGTGATGTGCAGGCAGATGCAGAAAGAGTTGTGACCAAGACTTAAGAGCTGACCTGTAGGTTTTGGAGACTGTGTCACACCAGACAGCAGGGCCTTTGTCACGCGGGACATGGGCCCCATAAGGTGGTGCTTCTCTCCCATCAGTTAGCATCTGTTCATAGGCAAGGCGGCTGTGACTGGCCCTTTATTATTACCAACCAAAGTTTTGTGAAGCCAAACCTGTAGTCTTGCCCCTGGGAAGGAAGTAGAAAATTTGGGGCCAGGTAGCATTAGACATTGATTTTGTTTTTTCTGGGCTCCTTCAGGTGGAAAGGAGTGTCACACCTGATACGAATTATAGGGCTCCATTTCTCTTTGCTTCTGCAGAGACAACCCGGAAGCCACCCAGCAGATGAATGACCTGATTATTGGCAAGGTCTCCACAGCCCTGAAGGGCCACTGGGCCAACCCTGATCTGGTGAGCCGGCTTATCAGGCCCAGCTGTCTTCTCAGACTCCCTGCTCATATGCCTTGTGTTCCTCAGCTTCCCCCCTCCCAGGTCCTACAGTGACTGAGGAGGGCAGGAGCAGAACACTACAAAGTTTACATTCAGAACAGTTTTCCTAGGCAAGAGCCCGGAGCACAAGGGTTTTGTCTGTCCTTTGTCTCTGTTGGAGCCACGTAGGACCAGAAATTGTATAAATACTTAAGAGTTGCTGGATCGAAGCTGACCCTCTTGATTCATGTCTCTTCCCACTGCCTTCTAGGCAAGTAGCCTGCAGTATGAAATGCTGCTGCTGACGGATTCTATCTCCAAGGAGGACAGCTGCTGGGAGCTTCGGTTACGCTGTGGTGAGTTAGGGACTTTTCAGAGAAAGGAAAGGGCTCCAAAGTGCAGTCCTGGCCAGAGTGGGAGAGGAGGAGGGAAACTGATGTTTGGGCGGCCTCTGCAGAGCAGGTGTGTGGTGTTCCTGATTGTGACTCTGCCTTTCCTGATCATCCCCAGCGCTCAGCCTTTTCCTCATGGCTGTGAACATTAAGACTCCTGTGGTGGTTGAGAACATTACCCTCATGTGCCTGCGGATCTTGCAGAAGCTGATTAAGCCACCTGCTCCCACTAGCAAAAAGAACAAGGTACTGGACCAAGCAGGGGTCTAAGAAGGAAGGCAGGGCAGCTTCCATCCTCATTCCCTGGCGGTGTGCCCTGCCTCCTCACAGTCTCTGCCTTGCCTCAAGCCCACCTCACCTGAGTGGCTCCAGTGCCACCTTTGCCTTAGTTCAACAGACATGGGTTGGGATTTTTGAGATGGATGGTTAAAGTAAAATAAACATGAAACTACAAAGCAGAGAGCAAAGTGGCTAACTGTGGAGGATGACCTCTTTCTCCACTCATGTTAGATAACTTGCAGCTCCTGGAAAGCATTGTTTCCTTCCTACCCCTGTGCCTTTGCACATGCTGTGCTGTGCAGTGATAGAAATCCCAGGCTCTGAAGCAGACTTTCTGAGTTCAAATCCCAGCACCTCCATTTATTAGCATTGTGACCTTGGGCAAGTTGTTCCTTAGTTTCCCCATCTATAAAATGGGAATACAGCCTCCACCTTGAAGTGTTGTGAAAAATAAATGACATAGTGCAGACCAAGTGATCAAAACTGTGTCTGCCTAAGTTAGGCCTTAGTTAGCTGTGGCTATCTTCTTCTTTCTCTGTCTAGGATGTTTTCCTTCACTTTATTAGCTGCTCCTTCAAGAGTCAGTTCTCTACTAGACTAGCTGTAAGCTCCTTGAATCCAGGGACTGGACCGTCGTATTTTTTATGTCTAGTATATAGGATGGCATAGCACCTATAATAGCTGCTTAGAAAATTATTGTTAAGTGAATAAAGGAAACCAAGTTTCTATCCTGAAATAACTAGCTGAGCACAGATTGACTTGCTTGTATCAGCTTTTGAATGACAGGCCACAATCCTTTCTTTGGGTCATGCCTAAGGCTCTGCTACCAACTTGCCTTGGATTGGGCCTTGGGTCATTCTGATTCCTGCTCTTTCTGATGGGCCATCCCTTAAGGGGAACCAAGTTTCTATCCTCAAATAATTGTAGCTGAGCTACAGATTGTCTTGCTTGTATCAGCTTTTGAATTGACAGTCCATAATTCTTTTTTTGGGCCATGCCTAAGGCTCTGCCACCAACTTGCCCTGACTTGGGCCTTGGGTCATTCTGATTCCTGCTCTGTCTGATGGGCCATCCGTTATGAGGAGCAGAGTCCTAATGGCAGGAAGATTGCTTTCTAAGTGCTAAGCACTAGGGTTATGATCAGGGGAAGCTGGATGTTGAAGCCGCCTTCAGAAAAGGCAGCACTGGGCACTCTGATTCCTTCCCTTTGATGGAGGAATTATTTCCCCCCAGATTCCCAGCAAATCAGATCAACCCTTGGTTGAGAACAGGACACCCATTCCCACATGACCTTCATTTTTTTCCACAGTGTGAGGCAAAGGGAGATTTTTCACGGAATTACTTGCCCTGTAAGGACTGGGGCCTGGTGTTAATGTTCACATTTTTCTCCGGTGTAACTTAGCAAGAGCAGCAGTTCTTAAAATCTGGCTCACGGACCCTGGGGTACTCTCAAGACATTCAGAGATCTGTAAGGACAAAGTTAATTTCATAATTGTCCTAAGACACTGTTTGCCTCTGTCATTCTTGTGATGTTTGTGCTGATGGTACAAAACCTTTGCTACTGGGGAAGACGGCCGGTGCCTTAGGTGGACAAGGCAGTGGCCCCGTGCAGCTCTTCACTGCCACCTGGTTTCATCAAGAATATCCTTGATGAAGCAGTACAAATTAATTTCATTAAATCTCCACTCTTGGGTATGAATCTGTTTAATGCTCAGTGTGACAAAATGAGCACACCAAAAGTGCCTCTGCTGTACCCCAAGTACAGCCATTGTGCCGAGGAAAGGTACTTGTGTGAGATGCCATATGAACCAGCTGCCTTTCCATGGGTCTCTCAAGCTTTAAGCTTGTGCTTGAGAAAATGGCTGATGGGCAAATTATGGTTTGTATTAGGCTTGTATTTGGCAGATACTTTCCTCAAAATGAGTGAAGTGAGCTTTAAGAAGAACTGACATGACCGTGTAAACTAGTGTTTTCTAATGACCAATGCATGTTATATCCTGCTGGGTAAAAAATGAAGGTTAGCGTAATGAACTATGAAAAGTTTATTGATGTGATTTCAGAGTCCATAATACAGCTAATCTTTCAGACCCTATAATTTGTTGAATTTTGGTATAGTCTCAAAAAAATCCATAATTCATTGAAAAAGTTATTAAAATATTCTTTCCTTTTCCAACCAACTGCATATCTGATGAGGCCCAGTGTTTTTCATATACTTCAGCCAAAACCACGTAACATGGCACTTTGACCATAGAAGCAGATACGAGAATCCAGATGTCTTATAAGGCAGTCATTAAACAATTATCAAAAATATAAAACAGTGCCACATCTTTCTGTAGGTTATTTTTGTTTTGGAAAATATAAAATTTAGGTTGACAAATAATAGATTTACTCTCCTTTTTAAGTGAATTAACAAATATCTTAAGAATTTCTCAGTTTTTTAAATTTATTTGGGTGTGCGTTTTTTTTTTTTTTTTGGAGACAGGGTCCCACTCTGTCACCTAACCTGGAATGCAGTGGCAAGATCTCCACTCACTGCAAACTCTGCCTCCTGGGTGCAAGCAATCCTCCTGTCTCAGCCCCCTGAGTAGCTGGGATTACAGGCCTATGCTACCATGCCCAGCTATTTTTTTTGGTGTTTTTTATTGAGACAGGGTTTCACCATATTAGCCAGGCTGGTCTTGAACTCCTGGCCTAAAGCATCATCTGCTCGCCTTGGGCTCCCAAAGTGCTGGGATTATAGGCGTGAGTCACCATGCCCAGCCAGTTTTAATTTTTAACATGAGAAATATCAATAGATACAACCATGTAAAGCAAAGCTCTCTGGACTCCTTAATAATTTTCAGAGTATAACAGGGTTCTGAGGCCAAACAGCTTGAGATATGCTGGCCTGGAGAGCTGTCCGTGGCTCTCTGTCAGCACACTGCTTCTGGTTAGTGACAGTTTGCATTCTGGAGCCTGCTTGTGACCTGTGGAACATTTATACTTGGGAAACTGTAGATCAGCCGTGGGGTAGGAATTAGTGTACGTGCTATAGGATTGTCTGCAGGAAACCAGCCACAGCTTCTGCTGCACAATAAAAATCAGTGACCTTAAGCTCAGTGTGGAGATGCTGCTGCTAAATGGGATCAAAATGGTTTAACAGGAGCACATTTGGGCATAAAATAAACACATGTTGATCCTCCTGATCGTCTTGGCTTTGCACGTCACCCCCTAGGGCACCAGTGCCATGCTTTTGGGGCTGTGTCTCAGGTGTGCTCTTGAGCGCCCTCACCTTGCCCCACTTGTCTCCTCCAGGATGTCCCTGTCGAGGCCCTCACCACGGTGAAACCATACTGCAATGAGATCCATGCCCAGGCTCAACTGTGGCTCAAGAGAGACCCCAAGGCATCTTATGATGCCTGGAAGAAGTGTCTTCCTATCAGAGGTATACCTATCTGTCTTTTCCAGATGCTGGGAACTCCTGCCTGTGCTCTGACAGCCCTGCCTTCTGTCACTCTTTCACTTACCTACCCCTTTAACCCTTGGCCCTGCAGGGATGGATGGCAATGGGAAAGCCCCCAGCAAATCAGAGCTCCGCCATCTCTATTTGACTGAGAAGTATGTGTGGAGGTGGAAACAGTTCCTGAGTCGTCGGGGGAAGAGGACCTCCCCCTTGGATCTCAAACTGGGACATAACAACTGGCTGCGCCAAGTGAGTGGCCATTTTCTGGACTCTTCACCCGCTGACCCTGACCCCAGACTCTGAGCAATGTGTTTCTGGCCCTCATCATGTGTTTGTGCTGCTGTCTCTTCTTTCTCTTGGCTGTTCTTGCTTCCTTTCAAATAGGAAGTGGGTACAGGTTCTTGGTTGCAGCTGCTGGGCTAGCCTGGTGGACAGGCCAAAACAGAACTTCTTCTGCTTATCTCAACAAGCTCCTTATGCTTTCTGCTTTCCTCCCTGACCATTGTCCCTTTTCTCTTTCCACTTTTTTGTATCTTCTGCTGTCCTTCCTCTCCCTCTTCTTTCTAGCTAAAGTAATTCTATGTTAGGTAATCCATTTATCCATTCATATATAAAATAAGAAATACTTGGTTTACATTAAATGTAAGTGTCCTCAAAAAGAATTATCAGCATCTTTGCTAAGGAAGATCCCTTTTTCCTACTTCGCTTATTGTAGGTATGTTCTTCACATCTCCTGATGGAGAAGTCTCCAGGAAGAAGCAGGGCTCTTTCATAGCCCCTTTCCCCATCTACAGCAGTCAAGTCTTGTGTTAGCTGGGGATTTTTACCTCTAACATTTTCCTAGAGAGGTACCAGAAGACCTCTCTTAGATGGGTGGCAGTTGACTGCCCTGCTGGGGCTTGGTGAGGCAGGGCATCATCTGAGCCTCTGGCCCCTTCTCTCCCTCGTCTTGCAGGTGCTTTTCACTCCAGCAACGCAGGCTGCACGCCAGGCAGCCTGTACCATTGTGGAAGCTCTAGCCACCATTCCCAGCCGCAAGCAGCAGGTCCTGGATCTGCTTACCAGGTACCATTTGGGAGTGGGCTCAGGGGCGTGGTTAGACTTCCTCTAGAGCCTTTTCATCTTCACCGGGGAAATCCATGGATCAGGGTAATGAAAGGCACACCTTCATTCCCTGTAGAAGACCCTGGAAACAACAAAGTGTTAAATAGCTGAATTTTAGTGGTAGTGGTGGTGGTGGTGGTGGTGTGGGTGTTAGCAGCAACAGCTAATATTTATTGAGATTGAGTGCTTAAATGCTTGGCATGCATTATCTTGTTTAATTCTCTCATAGCAATCAGTGCCAAAATGTGAATGCTTAAATTCTGTGGCATTCATGCCTAGGTGTGGGAAATTCCCACGTGGGAATTGGAGCTTTCTGGGATGTTCTTCATCCACCCTCTAGGAAGCGGGAGAGACAGACAGCAGAAGATAGGAAAGATTGGGAGGAGAAAGGGGATCCTCAGAGCCATTCAAATTGTTAGAGTTCTTGATTAGTAGTGCCCTGTCCCTCTTGGTGGCAGTTACCTGGACGAGCTGAGCATAGCTGGGGAGTGTGCGGCCGAGTACCTGGCTCTCTACCAGAAGCTCATCACTTCCGCACACTGGAAAGTCTACTTGGCAGCTCGGGGAGTCCTACCCTATGTGGGCAACCTCATCACTAAGGTATCCTACCCTATTGCCCAGGAGAGCCCCTTCCCTAATCCTCCTTTCATTGCACTTTGATGTCAACTTTACCATGCTGTTTTGTTTGTTTTTGCTGAGAAGAAATACTTGTTGAAGGTATTTGGAAATATTTTTGTGACTTTATTATATTTATCATATGGCTATATCAGTCTCTTGGGGGGCATTTCGACTGTTCTCAGTTTTTAAGCAATCCTTCACCAGCACTGGAACTGTTGTTGGCCTCCTGGAAAGGAGTTGCGCAAGGGCTCGAGGAAGAAGGTGTGACTACTGAGTGGTTGGTGCTGCCAGCTCCAGGGATGGTGGTGGAGGTAACTGGTATCCTTGGCAGTGACTGCACTTGTCATCCTGTTTAGGAAATAGCCCGTCTGCTGGCCCTGGAGGAGGCTACCCTGAGCACCGATCTGCAGCAGGGCTATGCTCTTAAAAGTCTCACAGGTAAAGAGAGCCACCTGGACCTTCTTCTAGGGCATCCTGAATCTGTTGTAGGGACAACCCTTAGTTCCTTGGGTGCTGAGGTTGACTCTTTCTCTCTCTCGTACTGACCTTAATGCAGATTTAAGCTCTGCATTTTTTTTCTGTATTGATATGTTTGTGATTTTGAGACTTTGTTTGCTATTGACCGCTTCTGCTCGTTGGACACCTGCTCTGTGCTGTGCACAAAAATAGATTTTCCCTGCTTTTTGAGCTACTCATTATCTTTTGAAGACACAGACCTTCCTTACATTTTCATCCAGAGCTCTCACAGCAACATTTTCCCATCTCCACAGGCCTTCTCTCCTCCTTTGTTGAGGTGGAATCCATCAAAAGACATTTTAAAAGTCGCTTGGTGGGTACTGTGCTGAATGGATACCTGTGCTTGCGAAAACTGGTGGTGCAGAGGACCAAGCTGATTGATGAGACACAGGACATGCTGCTGGAGATGCTGGAAGACATGACCACAGGTAGCACTGCCCAGTGGCCTGGAGCTTGAGGCACACTGTCCCTTCTGGGGCTGGCTAGGTGCATTTGACACATTTCCCTCAGTTCCACAGAGCCATAGGAGGTGGGCAAACATCTCCCTGCATTCAAAGAGAGACTCATTTCTTAACAAAGTGTTGGCTCTTGGACTTTTCAATACCAGAGCTGGGCTTTTCATGTTGAGCTTATCGAGCGGTACAAGGTCAAAGGCTCTCTGATTGATGTCTTTTCTCAGCCTGGAAAATTCGCAGCCATTGTCTCTTTAATCCCCTCTGCTGTGTTCTCTTTCCTTTCCTTGTGAAACTCCATTTTCACTGTCATCCATGTCTCTCTATCTCTCTTTCATAGTATTTATCTCATTGTATATTTGTGCTGCATTTTTGACAATTTCTTCAATTCATTTTTTCTTCACTATGTATAAATGTTTAATCTACCCATTGAATTCTTGTAGTTCTAGGCTTTATGGTCTCTTTTTTAAGATTCACATTTCCCTCCCTTATATGATCTATAAGCATATTAAACATTTGTGTCTGATAATTCTAAAATTTGAGGTGTTTATAGGCCTGATACTGCAGTTTGTTATTTTGGCTCTTGCTCATGGTATCTTAAAGCCTTGTTACACTGTGACCTCATATTTTTTAGCCTTATCTGTGGAAATTCTTTAGGACTGGACCAAAGGTGTGTTTCTCCAGAGAAGATAAATAACTGCTTCTGTGAGGCAGCTCAGGGCACTGCTGTCCCAGTTCTGAGCCTCAGGTTTTTCAGACCTCCTAGGTAGTGAGAGGTTTGAGCTGCAAACCCCTATGAGGAGACAGCTCATTATGAGTTTCAGAGGAGATTTTTTTCCCTGTTACTTGATGCTAAAGTTTAAGGAAAGACAATTTCCTCATTTACTTGATTGGGGGAAAGGTATAGTTGCACCCCCTTGGTGCAGAGATCTTTGGGGTACCAGTTTTGTGTTTGTGGGGCATGGGGTGGGGGATTCCTGCTAGACTCTTGGACTCAGTGGATTCGGGTCTTTATCCACCTCTCAAATCTGGTCAGGACATTGAAACCAAAGCTCAACGCAGAAACTGACTGGTGTTTTGCTTGTCTCTCTGGCTTCCCAATTTCTCTTAGTTTTTGACTTTTGGCCGTTCTTTGGTAGTGTGGCAGTTCAGTGATACATTTTTATTCAACACTTTAAATTGTTTTTTGGTGGTGGGGAGTGAGGAGCAGGTCAGGGAAACTTGTTTGCTTTATTGCCCGAAATGGAAGTCTTTCTGATGCCATTTTCATCATACCATTCTGACCTGGTTGGTGACTTTGTCAGGGCCCTTTACCCTTTTTTTTTTGCTACAGACCCACCCAGGAATGCGACAGTGTGACTTTTGTTTTGTTTTGTTTTGTTTTGTTTTGTTTTGTTTGAGACAAAGTCTAACTCTGTCACCCAGGCTGGAGTACCGTGGTATGATCTTGGCTCACTGTAACCTCTGTCTTCTGGGCTCAAGCCATCCTCCCATCTCAGCCTCCCGAGTAGCTGGGACTATAGGCGTGTGCCACCACGCCCAGCTAACTTTTGTGCTTTTTGTAGAGGTGGTGTTTCACCACATTCCTAGGCTGGTCTCGAACTTGAGTGCTCAAAGTGCTGAAATGGGACCTTTTTAAAGACCATATTTTCTCACCTTCACATTACTTTAAGCTGTCTTTTTTGCTTATAGAGGACATTCTGCCTAATCTTTTAGAATGAAGCTAAAAACTATAACTTCCATTTGATTTGACTGGAACACAGAATTATTTGACATTTTTTGAGTGCCTGTTTTGGTCAAGGAGATACTAGTTAAATAAGGCACAGCCCCTCTCCTTGAAGATGTTATATCCTGAGAGAGAGCAAGACATGTACACAGCCAGTCATGATAGAGTGCATTGACTTGGATGTTACGGGTTTCAAACTGAATGTGGTCTGAGGATAAAATCAATCAGCATAATATTTCCAATTTGAACTACCGATATTGCCATGTAGGGCGTTTAAAGACTTATCCAGGCAGAAATAATTTGTCAATGATGGTACTTCAACTAGAAGTCTCATTTCAGTTTGCATGGGTGAGGCTCCTTCCTAACTTGGCCGCTTTGATTTCTGGCAGGTACAGAATCAGAAACCAAGGCCTTCATGGCTGTGTGCATTGAGACAGCCAAGCGCTACAACCTGGATGACTACCGGACCCCGGTGTTCATCTTTGAGAGGCTCTGCAGCATCATTTATCCCGTAAGCAGTGCGGTGTTTCCCATGGCTCTCGTGTGTCAGCACGGGCCTCTTGGCCATGAAACCTCTTGGTGATTCATTCAAGTTATGGTGCATTATACCACTTAGCAGTTAAAGAAGATCCACCCCATAAAAGAGAAGCAACCTCATAATTTTTCTCTTGCTCACAATGGGACATTTAATGGCCTTCCTTGGTCTTAGTTTTCTGGATTCAAGTAAAGAATCATGTTTTTTTTAAAAACTAGGTTTAACCTCCATTACCAAAATCCCATTGCATTATCAATCCAGCATGCTGTGGAGAGGCAGCATTGAGCTACAATATAAAGTTATTTTCATTCTCTTCCTTCTTTTTCTGCCCTGTATTTTGTGCACACATGCAGCATGTGTTTTGCTTCCTGGACTGAGCTGTGTGGAAGCACAGTATGATCCAGAGCACCCTTCCTGCTGTTGAGGGTGGATGAACACTAGTATCGTCAGCTAGCAATGAGAACTCATTGTGGGTGTGCCTGAGTGTCATGTCCCATAGAGAAGCCCTTTCCTTGACTTCAGGGTCATCAGTGACAAAGTCCTCTGGCCCCAAATTGGTTAGCATCAAATGAGACCTGCGGGAGGAGGAAGGAAGGTCCCTTCTTGCACCCCTTCCCCCATTTCATTAACACATCTCTCATGTGTCACTCCTTGTCTGCTTGTTTTGTTGGGCTTTGTCTCCTAATCTGCCCTGGGGGTTCAGCGGAGATGCAGTCTTTTTACGTGTTTGGGGGACTTGCTGAGTGTGGTATGTTTTCCTCGAGTGTCCTGCCTCTGCCATCCCTTCTGATATACACTTCCCTTTGTCCTCCAGGAGGAGAATGAAGTCACTGAGTTCTTTGTGACCCTGGAGAAGGATCCCCAACAAGAAGACTTCTTACAGGGCAGGATGCCTGGGAACCCATATAGCAGCAATGAGCCAGGCATCGGGCCACTGATGAGGGATATAAAGAACAAGATTTGCCAGGACTGTGATTTGGTGGCCCTCCTGGAAGATGACAGTGGCATGGAGGTAATGAGCATAGGACAGCGGTGCCCACGTTTAAGAGCAGGGGCTGGGACCAAATCCAGGTGCTTCCTCCTGGTAGCTGATTAACCTGGGGCAGGTGGCCTTGAGTTTATTGCTCTATAAATTGGGTTTAATGATTTGCACCTTTCTACCTCACCTAGTGCTAAGATTAATAACCTGTAAAGGGCTCTGCCCAGGGCCTGGCAGGAAGTAAGCATATTGTTGTTGGCTGTTGGTTGTAGTAGTGGTAGGTGTTTATTATTGCTGCATCTGGCAGAGACTTCTCGGTGAGTCTGAGTTACCTGAGCCCCCTAAATATTGGTATTTTACCCCTTGCATAGGTGTATGGCCCTGCGTCAGTTACCTTCTGGCAGATCCAGGAGGGTCTGGCATTTTTACACAGTGAAAAGCCTTTTCTGGTTCTGAGCCTGTGGGGCAAGGTCCCCAGCGGTGTGTCTAAGCTGCAGCCCATGTGTGGGTTAGGGATGCTTGCAGCCCCTGAAATTGTGCACAAAATTCTGTGTGTTTTGCACACATGTGCTTTTTTTTTTTTTTTTTTTTTTTTTTTTTTTTGAGACGGAGTTTCACTCATGTTACCCAGGCTGGAGTGCAATGGCACCATCTCGGCTCACCGCAACCTCCGCCTCCTGGGTTCAGGCAATTCTCCTGCCTCAGCCTCCTGAGTAGCTGGGATTACAGGCACACGCCACCATGCCCAGCTAATTTTTTGTATTTTAAGTAGAGACGGGGTTTCACCATGTTGACCAGGATGGTCTCGATCTCTTGACCTCGTGATCCACCCGCCTCGGCCTCCCAAAGTGCTGGGATTACAGGCTTGAGCCACCGCGCCCGGCCATTTTTTTTTTTTTTTTAAGTGGGAGAGTTGATAGGTCCATGGCATACAAAAATGATGAATTATGAACCATTGCCATAAGGTGCCCTTTGCTCTTGGATTTTACTTGCCTTACAATTATTTAGAATAACAGCTTCACCTCCTTTTCTGTTCAGCTTCTAGTGAACAATAAAATCATTAGTTTGGACCTTCCTGTGGCTGAAGTTTACAAAAAAGTTTGGTGTACCACGAATGAGGTATGTGCCTGCTTTTTTGCTTGGAGGTGTGGTTTCCCTTTTCTGATTTGTGCTATGCAGACTTGTACCAGCAGGAGCCATTGTTCATCATCACTTACCCTGCTTGTAGCAGCGCTCTGAGGCTTTACTTTCCCTATTTGGGGTTGTGTGAAGAAAACCAATCATCCTGTTTTCCTTTGGAGGCATCTGACTAATGAAGGTTGAAGAGCCTCAGGAAAGCAAAAGCGTTTTGCTGGGCTGTGCAAGTTGTCAAACCCCAAGGACTGGAAGCCAGGGAGTGTCAAAGGAAGCTCTGTGTTGGGAATGCTTGCTGTTTTGTTCCCTTCAATATGGACACCTCTCAGCTGAGATTAGCCTGCTCACTTAATAGAACATTTTCCCAGTAGCTGTGTCAAGGAGCATCATTGCTGTTTTACTAGTTGGGGAATTGAGGCTCAAACAGGCATTTGTTCTTGAGGAGGGGAAAAGGGAAATGAAGGAAGTCCAGCGCTCTGTACCTTTTGACCATCATGAGTGATACTGTTTGTCCACTTGTGAAAGTATCAGATGGTCCCCTTCACCTTTCCCTCCTTTCTTAGTCTCTCTCTGTTCCTTCCTTCCCTCTCTTCCTGTTTCTTTTTCTTCCCCTCCATTTCTCTCTCCTCAGGGCATTTCTTCCCTCCTCTTGTTTCTATTGGGAGGAGAGGTCTTTAGTACATGTATCAGATAAGTAACTTAATTACAGCAAGCTAGTAGCAGGGACGCACAGCAAACTTCTATACTTGGTCCCAAACACTTCTGTAGAGTTTGAGAAACTAAATTGGCAGTATACTGTTTGTACATTTTGGCCTTTAATTTTTTACATATTTCCGCCTCTCTCCTTTCTTTTCTCCCACTGGGCTGGGAATCCTGGTCACTGTTTACTGTTGGTCTGCTGCCAGCTGGGTCGATGTTGCACTGTTGGCCGAGGGACTGGCAGAGAACTGTCCCAGTCAATACATCTTGTCACAGAGATTTCAGCATCGAAACAGAATGATACTGATTTAATCCCTGATGCACATAAAAATTTAAGACCAAGCTTCTCTGGGCACTCTTGTAAATGGCAGTAGTGAACCCAAAGAATGCACAAGGGTATCTATCTCCCTTGAATGGTGACGCAAGATAGACATTGAGAATCATTTGCCCCTCACATTGATGTGCTTAATCTAGTTAGAAGGTTTTCTGGCAAAGTCCAGAGTTTGTGATAGTATTTGTTCTGGGACTTCAGCTTCCTTCTCTACTTTGCCCTCCATTTCCCTGATAAGCAACCTACCTTTTTAGCTGCTGACTAGAACCTGCTCTGTGTTCAGTGTCTGTGGTGGTTCTCTCTCTGGGGAATCCTCACTGGGCTTCCGTAGCCGGAAACACTTCTACAACCGGCCTTTCTGGAGGGTTGTCTTCCTCCAGGGTTTCCTGTTCTGAAGCTAAGCCTATACTTGGAGGCAGGCTGTTTGTACATTTTGGCCTTTAATTTTTTACATATTTAGTGTGCTACCAAATCCCCCACTGGATTTCATTGAGGGTTACTTTGAGCTCCAATTTCTAATCTGCAAAATGAGAATAATAATATTATATGCACTCAGTGCCAGACATATAGTGAACTTTTCTGATCCTTCAATTTAGTGAAGTTGCTGTAATTTCATCATTTAAAAAAGCCTTGATTCTTATTCCAGTCAGATTATGGGTTTAGCTTAAAGAATTGTGGATGAACCCCCTCCTTGTATAGTTATATAAAGACATCCGAATCTCTATAGGCAAAGATTGATCTACTCTCTTTTCCTGTATTCCTGAGACTTGAGTCAAAGCTCTTTGATTTAAATGGCCTTGCTTGTCCTGGGTAGTAGTTCCTATTGATGGGAGAGAGTTTCTACTCCTGAGGAAGGTCCAGGCTTGGAATTAGACCTCCGCTTATAGCTTGGCAACCTTGAACAAGCTGTGTAACCTTGTGTAAAAGGATCATCTACAGTACTTAATTAGCACAGGACCTAGCACAGAGTAAAACATTCAATAAATATTAAGTAACTACATAGTGTTGTAATGAAATTGAAGGAGATAGTGTCTTTAAAATGTTTCATACCATGTCTAGCTTATAGTAGACACTAAATAAAACTAATATTCTTTCCCCTAAGTGAATTGCTATACAGTTGGATTCTAGATATTGTGGATGAGACCTTGTAGAAAAATAGAGGCTCTCCACATTGCTGTAGCTTTAAGCAAGACCAAGTATGGAGTTCTTTGCATTTGTGTGGGCTTGTTTTTAAATACCTTTCTCCAACTTTCTCTGCCCAGGGAGAGCCCATGAGGATTGTTTATCGTATGCGGGGGCTGCTGGGAGATGCCACAGAGGAGTTCATTGAGTCCCTGGACTCTACCACAGGTAGATCATAGACAATGCTGCACATTGGATTTGAGTTCGGGACTAAAGAGCGGCTCACATCCCAGGACATTGGGGTATACTCAGTAGGTTCTGTCTTGTACCTCTGCGTCGGAGTTGTGGGGAGATTGTTTCTTCAGTTGAGGAAAAATAGAAATGTCTATGGTATGATGCAGATACCACTGAGGATTAAAAAAAAAAAAAACACCAAACTTTTAGAGGAAGATGCAATTAACAATAAACTTGAATTCAGATTCATTTTTAACTTTCTCTTCCCCCCACCCCCTTGATGATATAAGTACTCATACTTTGACATTTGAGTAAGTAATTTTAATTGACTTGAAACTTAAAAAAAGCTTCTACTGAGGGTGGAATAGTTTCATATTGTCCATCATTGACCCTTTTTATTGGCTGTGTCTTTACTGGAGATGTGGAATAGGGCTGTCTTACTCTGGCCTAGCTTATTCCCATCTTCACCTTCCCCTCCATTTCTGCTGGCTTCCCTTCTCCCCTAGATGAAGAAGAAGATGAAGAAGAAGTGTACAAAATGGCTGGTGTGATGGCTCAGTGTGGGGGCCTGGAATGCATGCTTAACAGACTCGCCGGGATCCGAGATTTCAAGCAGGGACGCCACCTTCTAACGGTGAGTTAGGGGCAGCAAGGTATGGGGGCCAGCCTTTCTGCATTGGGAGAGACCCCTGTGAAAAGAAGCTATGGCCACTGTGTCATTTTACCCTAGAGGGCAGCATGGTGCTATGGAGCAGTGCGAGTTGGCGAAGGCAGTTAGGAACCCTCTACATTCTCGGGCACCCCTCTTCCCGACCTGCTGGCCCACTTCCCTTCTCCAGTACCTCTTTAGTTATCTGTAGAGCCAGCATCTGTCTTTACCCAAATAACTGTACTTGTTTTAACCATTATTATTATTGTTGTTTTTAAAATGGATTTTATAATGTAAATCATTTCTTGCATTGTAGGGTTTTGTTTGGGTATTTATCTAACTAATCTCCTTAGTAAGGATTAGAGCATTCCAGAGAGGCACCACAAATATTATACTATTATTTTCACTAGCCCCCACTCCCCCAGGGTTTATGAGAATATATATATATATTTTATTATTATTACTATTATTATTGTGCCTTTTTTTTTTNGTAGTTTTGATCTTGTCACCCAGGCTGGAGTGCAATGGTGCGATCTCGGCTCACTGCAACCTCTACCTCCTAGGTTCAAGCAATTCTCCTGCCTCAGCCTCCTGAGTAGCTGGGATTACAGCCATGCACCACCATGCTCGGCTGATTTTATATTTTTAGTAGAGATGGGGTTTCTCCGTGTTGGTCAGGCTGGTCTTGAACTCCCAACCTCAGGTGATCCACCTGCCTTGGCCTCCCAGAGTGCTGGGATTACAGACGTGAGCCACTGTGCCTAGCCTGTGCCTTTGTTTTAAATGACCTATGTGGTTCTGAGCTCTCACAGGCCAGAAGCTTTGGGATCATTCTATTTACTATTAGTTTAGCGTCTGAGTTAATGCTGGGATTTCTCTCAAGACAAGATCATCACCTCTTGCATTAGGAACTGGTGTCACTGCCATTGAGTTAGAGATGGTAGAGATATATCCAGCCTGTGGAACTACCAATTGTGAGAGCCCAGCTATCTTACCATGTCCCCTTAAGGGTCACTTCTCCCTCCTGTCCTCTTCATTTCAAAGGAACCCCTGCTGATGGTATAGGACGGACTCTGCTTAGACATCCCTTTCCTACTGCTCCCCGCACCTTACACTCTCATGTGGTCTCATGGGTTTTGACTGGCTTTTCTTGTCAGGTGCTACTGAAATTGTTCAGTTACTGCGTGAAGGTGAAAGTCAACCGGCAGCAACTGGTCAAACTGGAAATGAACACCTTGAATGTCATGCTGGGGACTTTAAACTTGGTAAAGAGCATGGGCTGCAAATGATGAAGAGTAAGCCTTGGAAGTCTGGGTGTGGGGAAGACATTTCAGTTCTAGGCTTAGATGAAATGGACTCATGGCTTCTTCAAGCTCTTCATCTCTCTGGCTGACTGGTGTAGAGGCTTGGATCATTCAGCTGCCCTTCTCCTCTGGTTGCCCCTCACCCCCCACCCATCCCCATGCTGCTGCCATGGCACCCAAGAACTTCCTCATTCCTTTCCTGAGTTCAAATCAGAGATGAGAGGAAGGCAGTCCCTTAAACAGTCTAACTACACACCAATGGGAAAGAAGTCCCCATCTCCTTGAGGCAGCCAAGAAAGAGATCTGGAACTTCACGTTCTCCCTGTCATCCAAAGCTCTCACACTTGTCTCCCTCTCAGAACATGCATATACACACACACATACATACACATAGTCATACACACACGGTCTCTGGGAAGTAAGGCCATGAGGGGATCCTTGAGAGCAAATGCTATCAGCAGTGAATGGCTGTGGTCTTGTTCTGAGAGCGACTGGGTCTCCTTCTCCTACAGGCGCTTGTAGCGGAACAAGAAAGCAAGGACAGTGGGGGCGCAGCTGTGGCTGAGCAGGTGCTTAGCATCATGGAGATCATTCTTGATGAGTCCAATGCTGAGCCTCTGAGTGAGGACAAGGTGAGTGGGGCCTGGCCCTCCCATCTGCAGGCACTGAGAGCCTGCACGGTCCCATTGCCCACAACAGGCCTGTGTCTGGCTTAGCCCACCTGAGAATGACAGAGCCTCCTTAAGCATTGGAATGTCAAGACTCAACTAATGGTGACATAATTGTATTGAAACCTGAAATCTTTGGATTCGGAGCAAGCAAGATTGCTAAGGATAGTCTTTTACTCGAAAGCTGCTCATTAATGGAATCCTGGCATGTCCCACTTGTTATAGACAGGGGCTTTAGTCCAATCTTGTGTTTCATAGTTCAGGAATTGAATAGTGCACTTCATTTCCGGGACTTGGCATTTCCTCAACTGTGGTATATAATTGGTTACTGGTGGAAATCAGGCCTAGAACCCAGGTCTCCAACTTCCAGAATTTCTCTCCACCTATAATTTTCTCCATTCTTATTGGCACTAATGATTTGGCCAGAGCTATGACCAAATGAATGCACAGCAGCCTGCATTCTGTTACAGGAAAGGAAGATTGTATTGGTATATTTTGACTACCTGGGACTAGTAACAGAACTGTCACAGGAATTTAGAAGCCACACTCTCAAGTGAAACGCATACTGTTTGTTATTCCCCAGGAAGTGCTGAAACACAGTTCTTCTAAGGCTACTCCTGATGACTCTGATAGAAATGGTGACCTTTGGGGCTCAGATGTGGCTGCAGCCACAGTCCTGGCGGCATTCATGGGACTCCCACCCTCTTTTCTGTTGCAGGGCAACCTCCTCCTGACAGGTGACAAGGATCAACTCGTGATGCTCTTGGACCAGATCAACAGCACCTTCGTCCGCTCCAACCCCAGCGTGCTCCAGGGCCTGCTTCGCATCATCCCGTACCTTTCCTTTGGAGAGGTGGAGAAAATGCAGATCTTGGTGGAGCGATTCAAACCATACTGCAACTTTGATAAGTATGTTATTTGGGTTTCATAAAGTGAAATGAGAGTCCCTACAAAAACCCTGAACTAGGCCTGTGAGATGAGGAAGAATCACTTGAATTTCTATTAGATTTTTGTGTCCTTGTTCTGGCTTTTAAGGAGTTCAGTCTAGTTGGGGAGTAAATAGTTACTGTATTGGAGTAGCAATTGGCTAGGCAGAGAAGGCAAAGTGGTTGGTGAGGTGGGAGGAATATGACGAGATGGAGTCACGTGTGCAGAAGTGTGAGTGCAAGAGAAAGCTGTGAGTGTGGGAGACATAGCAGGCAACAGAGAGAGTGGCAGGAGCCAGGGCAGAAGGGTCTTTGTGTCACATTAGGGAGTTTAGTCTTGATATTCTATAGGCTGTTGACAATTGTTAGCCAAGAGAGTGAATGATTGGGTTTTGCCCCACCTTTTGCACCCTCAGACTCTGCTCTTTCCTTCTAGGTATGATGAAGATCACAGTGGCGATGATAAAGTCTTCCTGGACTGCTTCTGTAAAATAGCTGCTGGCATCAAGAACAACAGCAATGGGCACCAGCTGAAGGATCTGATTCTCCAGAAGGGGATCACCCAGAATGCGCTTGACTACATGAAAAAGCACATCCCTAGCGCCAAGAAGTATGAAGCCCTCTCACAGAGGGGCTGCTTTGTCTCCCCTTTGCCCTTTCCTTTTCCTTCTCCGTCAGCATCTTGGCGTAAAGCTTCACGCGTGTGCCTTGCCCTCCTTGGGGCCTCCCAACCCTTTCTGGAAACTGTGTGGGTGACCATCCAACCACTGCAGAGCCCTTTGGGACTTATGGGAAAAGGATGGCAACTTTTTGGTTTCTGCTTAGAATACTCACTTCTACCTGGCTTTTCAGCTGAGCTGGGTGGTTCTATGTGATTCTTCATGACACTTGGAGAGGGTCACATTTAAACAGGCACCGGGGCTTTAAACAAGCCAGAGTCAACAACTGGTTTCTAGGTAGCCTTTGCTTCCCTGGCCTGCCAATAAGCCTTCATTTGCTTTGCAGCTTGGATGCCGACATCTGGAAAAAGTTTTTGTCTCGCCCAGCCTTGCCGTTTATCCTGAGGCTGCTTCGGGGCCTGGCCATCCAGCACCCTGCCACCCAGGTGGGTAGCCAGGATAAGTAGTGTGAGGGTGCAGGGGTACAAGTTTAACCGTGCTAGTTCACCCTGAGACATAACTTACCCTAATATATAAGACTCCTAGAGTGGAAGTGAGCCTCAGAGGTCATCGACTTCGTCTCTCTGTGTGCTGAGAGAAGTCAGTTGTATTTGTGATTCCCCCATTCAACTCATTCTTTAAGTGGGGCCTCATTGTCTCATGGGTCAGCTATGCAGCTGTTGAACTGTGAGGGTATGGCTGACCAGCGAGTAAAACACTTGGGTGTCAGGCCACAGTCATTGGGACACTTAGATTATCATCACCTCTGTTTTCTCTCTGCCTCAAGCAGCTGAACACTTTGTTCTTAGGGAGTCCCATCCATTCTACTCTGCAGCTCATTTCTGATTTCTCCCCATGGGACTGAGCGGTAACCCCTCATAGATCCAGTCCTATCTGGCCCTGGATAGATGGCCAGGGCTGGGTTTTTTTGTTTTTCTTTCTGATCGAAGTTTTAATTTGCAGATTGTTACAGATTCACATGCAGTTGTTAAATACAGAGAAATCATATGGATCCTTTTCCCACTGTACCCCAGGGGTAACATCATGTGGAACCTGAGCACACACCACAACCAGAATATAGACATCAGTGCCGTCAGGATGCAGGCAGTTTCCTCTGCACAAGGGCCCTCTGGGCCTTTTCCAGCCACATCCACCTTCCCCTGCTCCCCTGCCACAGCCTCTGGCACCCACCAATCTGTTCTCCATTTCTGTAATTTTGTCATTTCAAGAATGTTGTACAAATGTAGTTGTACGGCATGTGACCTTTTGGGATTGTCTTTTTTCTTTTTCTCAGCATGATTTTCTGGAGTTTCATCCAGGTTCATTCACGCACTAAAGGATACCTGGATTGTTGCCAGTTTTGGCTGTTACTTATAAAGCTGCCATGAACACTCGTGTGCAGGTTTTTATGTGAATATAAGTTTTCATTTCTCTGGGATAAATGCCCAAGAGTGCAGTTGCTGGGTTGTGTAGTAGTTGCATATTTTGTTTATTAGAAGCTGCCAAACTGACCGATCCAGTTTCTCTGTGTCTTTGCCAGCATTTGGTGACTGTTCGTTTTTGCTGTTCTGGTAGATGTGCAGGGGTCCCTTGTCGTTTGTTTTCCTAGTGGTTCATGATGTTGAACTTCTTTTCATGTGCCTTGTGTATCTTCTTCAGTGAAATGTCTGTTTATGTCTTTTGCCCGCTTTCTAACTGGAGTGTTTGTTTTTTAATGTTGAGTTTTGAGCGTCCTCAGCATTGGGTTTTTTCTGTTTGTAGTGTTCTATCGAAAATAGTTCCACTGTCTCCTTTCGTAATCTGTTCTGATAACTCATTCCAAAAACTTGGCGACTCGAATGCAGTGAAGATTCTTTACTGTGTCTCACTGAAATCCCTTTTCTAAACTTTTATTCAAGTCAGTGGAGTCATAATTAGTATATATTTGTGGAGATTGTTTTTTCTACATAGGAATTTTCACATATGTTCTTTTCCCTATCCTTGTAACATCTCTATTTTGTGTATGATAAATCAAGGAACCCAGCTGTGATATGGCCAAAGGGAACACCATGAGTTTGGAACTCAAAGTCAGCGGATTTCCAGGCTTTTTTTTTTTTTTTGAGATGGAGTTTCACTCCTGTTGCCCAGGCTGGAGTGCCATGGCACAATCTTGGCTCACTGCAACCTCTGCCTCCCAGTTCAAGCAGTTCTTCTGTCTCAGCCTCCAAAGTAGTTGGAACTACAGGTGCCAACCTGGCCATTTTTTTGCATTTTTAGTAGAAACATAATTTGATCATGTTGGCCAGGCTGGTCTCGAACCCCTGACCTCGGGTGATCCACCCACCTTGGCTTCCCAAAGTGCTGGGATTACAGGCATGAGTCACCACTCCTGGCCTTCCAGGCTTATTCTTAGTTACCAAATTGAATTACTTTATTTAGAATAAGGCTTTATCTAGTTAGATAGTTGGCATTTACGCTGTGACCATTCATTTTTCTTTCAATGCATATTTATTGAGTACCTGTTGTATACCTGGTCCTGTGCAAGGTAAGGAGACAATCACTGTCTGTGCCTTTTGGGAGCTTACTGTCTGGTGGAAGATAGAGCTTTTGTTTATTACTAAACAGCGAGATAGACACAGTGTGGAAGGGCCTAAGGAAAGAGGAGGGCATGTTTAGTAGAGGGCACCTGCAAAGGCTTAGGGGCTAAAGAGAGCTTAAAGCCTTCCAAAAATTGAAAGCAGCTGCAGTGGGAGGTGAGACATGGCACGAGCTGCCGATGAAGACCCGAGCAGGGGCAAGGCATGTTCTTTCTCCCAGAAGGGGAGTGTGGGTTTTCTCCTGAGGGCAGTGCCCCAGCCGTTTCATAGAGAGTGAATTGAAGGGAGTTGAGGTTGGAGGTAGGAAGAACAGGCTTTTATTGCAATCAAGGTGAGAGAAATCATGGCCTGAACTAGTTCATGGATACATTGAACAGAGATTGAGCTGGGAGGAAGAATAAATGGGATTTGGAGGAGCAAAGAAGCTGGATGAATCAAGAGCCCTGCTCAGTTGCTAGACTGGGTAATGAGGTGAATGGTGGCGCCACTGAGACGGAGAAGATCGGAGGTTTGCGAGTAAGGTGGAGGAGAGTTCATTAGACTATGCTATCAACATATGGTTTATCCTATTAATTACTAGAATGTAAGTTAAATGAGGGCAGAGTCTTTGTTTCCCCAGCACTGAAATCACACATGTGCAAGGATGCACACACTGTAAACAGCCAGAATGTTGAGTTTGGGGTACCTGTGGAAAAGCTCAGTCAGAGTTAAAATATGGGCTCAGCGTTTAGGAGCATGAGACATGAGAGAATATATAATTTTGCTGAGACACAGATTGGAAGCGGACTTGCTATGAGAACAGATTTATGAGCTACCGAGTGATGTGCTGGCTTTATTGTTTTCAGCTTGTCTCATATGTAATAATTGCTATCAAGTCACTTGTGACAGGGTGGTGAGGATTTCAGGGATGTGGTGATATTTCTCAGTGAGCTCACCTGGAGAGCTTTTTCCAGCTACACCTGCCTTTAGCCTTCTGATGTTCCCCACCCCTGTTGACCGTGCGGTGCCGTATGTAGTGACTGCCAGCTTTTTCTGGCACCGAGTTCTCTTGTTAATATCTTTTTTTGTTTGTTTGTTTAAGTTTTTAATCTCCATACCTGCTTGTTGTCATTGTACCTCTAGTATCCCTAGGCTGAGAAAACTGTGCTCCTAGGTTTGGTGGACCTGGGGGCTCCCAGGTGGAGAACTTAGGGTAGGCCCTTATGAACGTCCAGTGCCTGCTCTGGCTGGTGAGTTCATCACTCACGACTCATCAGGTGCTGCGGCTTCTCTTACCTGGATAAGTATCTTCTCCTGGCCCCTTTCCATGTCCCCTGTGATGGATGCTTTGCATGTTATCTAATTTCTGATCCTCACAGCAGCCCTGGCATTATCCCCATTTTATAGATGGAAATACTGAGCTTAGAACGTAGCAACTGGTCAGAGGCAGTGGCAGAGTCAAACCCTCTTCCATCTGTCTTTGTCTCTCAAAGTGTAGAATCAAAGGACATCATTGCAGCTGAGCAGGTGACATGAGGTGATGCACACTGGTTGAGTTTCTAAACCTTTAAGCTTCCAGAAAGGTTTGTCTACATAATTGGAGTTATGTGTCTCTCTGGTCTCTTATTGGCAGGTTCTGATTGGAACCGACTCCATCCCAAACCTGCATAAGCTGGAGCAGGTGTCCAGTGATGAGGGCATTGGGACTCTGGCAGAGAACCTGCTGGAAGCCCTGCGGGAACACCCTGATGTAAACAAGAAGATTGACGCGGCCCGCAGGGAGACCCGGGCGGAGAAGAAGCGCATGGCCATGGCAATGAGGCAGAAGGCTCTGGGCACCCTGGGCATGACGGTAAAGCCACCTCCCCGAGTCCCCATGTTTCTGCCCACACTGTTGAGGAGGAGGTGGCCATGGAGAAGGAGAAGGCTGGATAGAGGAGGAGGAAGGAACTAGGCATGGTAGGCCCTCTCAGAGGTGGGACCACTATTGTTCAATCATACAGGTGCGACTCAGGGTAAGTGACTTACGAAGTTTACTTAAACAGTAAACCAGTGATCACAGCCATTGTTTATTGAGGACTTATTTAAGCCCTGAAGTAGTTCTAGGAGGTTGATAACGGTTATACCCATTTTCCAGGTGAAGTAACTGAAACTTAGAAGTGAAGTAAATAGGCCAAGGCATATAACTAATAAGTGGTTGCCACAAAGAGCTCTGCTAACTGTCCCACCTTGGAGGAAGTACAGTCCTACAAGCTCCTTCTCCAAACCACAGACTTGAGTGTCAGCAGTTTAAAAACTCACATGAGAACAGTGAATGAATCACAGTGCAACAGCCCTTGGAAGCTGAGACTTGACATTGCTGGCACAAAGAAAGGGGGCTTTTCTGATGGCAGGTTGCACCTTGCCAGGGCTCCAGGTGGATGATTTCCTTTGCTTCAGTGGTTCCTGTAGGAAGAGAGACTAGTAGAGGGGCCTGGGTCTTTATCCTCATTAGAAGCCAGCTAAAGGGCTTTCCTCTAATGCAGCTGTCCTTTTAGTGGAGGTAGGAGGTTAGCCCTGTTCCTGAGCATCTCCAGGCTAGGGTGGGAGAGGGTGTGTGGAAATCCCCCTGACATGCCACCGGGGTTCCCCTACAGACAAATGAAAAGGGCCAGGTCGTAACCAAGACGGCACTCCTGAAGCAGATGGAAGAGCTGATCGAGGAACCTGGCCTCACATGCTGCATCTGCAGGGAGGGATACAAGTTCCAGGTACAGCTGCTGGGCCTGCAGTCAGTCCTGAGGGCCCAGCCTGGCCCCTTGCTCTAGGTAGCATCCCCTTCCTCCAGGCCATTTTGTTCCTAGCGAGGCAGGTTCAAGGCTTGCATCTTAGGAGGTTGACAAAAGGATTAGCTGTCCGGTTTAAAGGCAGGATGGCAAACTCATCCGAACTTTAGATTTCATTATCCTTGTCATCGTCATGACAAGTGCCGCTCATCGGATTCTTCCTGTATGTGAGGCCTCATGCTCAGAGCTTTGTGTAAACTGGATAATTTTATTTAAACCTGTGAAAAGTCCCAACTTGTGGTTAAGCAAACAAAGGTCACATGGCAGAGCCAGAATTTCAGCTGAGGCTTCTCAGACTCCAGACCTGGGCTTTTGAAAACGCACCATGCTGCTTCCATTGAGGGTAACTGGGGAGAAAATCGGAACTTTCTTGGCTCATCCAAACAAGATTCCACCTGAAAGGAGCAGAGCAGCCAGTGACCTACTGGCTCCCCTGAAGGCTCCAAGGTGGCCTCTTCTCTCCAGTTTGAACTTACTGCTCAGAACTCAGGCTGTGCAAGGGCAGGTGCCTGGGCCACAGGCCTCATTCGTCCTGCATAAGACAGGCTCCTCAGAGCTGCCGGCACATTTTGAAAAGCAAGTGAATATCAAGGAGATACTTCTGCATTTTCAGACAGACGAAGCACAAAGTAAAGGAAGATGGCCTGGGCTTGCTAACGGGTCTGCCTCAGCATCTATACCATGTCCCCCTCTTCTGGTTGCTCCCCTAATCCTCATTTCACTAGGGCTGCGCTAGCCAAGTGCTTCACCCACAGACTGAGGGGCAGGCCTCATCTGCTCTTCTGAACTTCTCTAGTGAGAGCAGCCTGAATCCTAAGGCATTGCCCAAGAAGGGAGACAGTTCCCCTCTCTTCTGCTTCACCTGGACCTGACTTGGAGTTTCCCCTCCTCTCTCCTCATGCTGTCTTTGCAGCCCACGAAGGTCCTGGGCATTTATACCTTCACAAAGCGGGTAGCCTTGGAGGAGATGGAGAATAAGCCCCGGAAACAGCAGGGCTACAGCACCGTGTCCCACTTCAACATCGTGCACTACGACTGCCACCTGGCTGCCGTCAGGTAGGCCCTGGCTGTTGCAGGGTGGCTCCTTCAGTAGGCCTGCCTGTGGGCCTGGAGCAGGTGGGACTGCCAACCTCGTGGTTTTAAATCTGCTCCTTAGTCTCTGGGAGGTAGGGTGTTCTGCCTGACACCACATAGGTCTCCGAGCAGTTATTTGAGTGATAGGAAAATATACTTTGGCCTGGGCCCAAGGCTGGGGAGAGCAGCCTTGCTTGCCTGAGTTAGCAAGGCCAGCATGTACCACATCGAGGCTACAAATGGCGAATTCTCTTTGCCGGGTCAGGAGCCTGGGCTGACTGACTTCTTAGCATTGGCACGCCCCCACCCCCGCCCCCGACCAGGTGCTTGGTTGCCACCTTAATTCTAGCAGTCGCTTGTCTCTGCTCTCCTCCCCATCCAGGTTGGCTCGAGGCCGGGAAGAGTGGGAAAGTGCCGCCCTTCAGAATGCCAACACCAAGTGCAATGGGCTCCTTCCGGTCTGGGGGCCTCACGTCCCTGAATCAGCTTTTGCCACTTGCTTGGCGAGGTGAGTGTTGAGTATTTTCCATGGTGGGAAGGAGATTTGCAGGGGATGGGACAAGACCTGCTATCAGCCCAATCCCTTGATGACATCATTTCCTGTTACATTCCTTGGGAGTCCATGTCTGTCTGCTCGCTGACTGGGAGCTGTCCAGAGCAGACAGAGTGGGGGATGGAAGCTTATTCGGGGGATGGAAGCTTATTCAGGAGATGACCTGACATGGCCCACCACAGGGTGAGAGGAACCAGCACCCTCAGCTTCCAGGGCACCATGTGAAATTTCTGGTTCTTCACTACTCCTTTGTTGATCTTATGATGTAAAATGTGGGACCCTGACTTGGTCCTTGAGGCCAGAATTTCTCAGAGTTCACTTCTATAGTGGTGGCTCTGAGGTTTAAATAATGAAAGGGGCTTAGTGGCAGCAGGAATGGTGGGCTCCTTGGAAGGCCTCCCTGGTCCTTTAGGACCCAGATTAGAATAGCTCAAGCATCTGTGAGGTCCTCATGTCTTGCTGATGCCATGTGGAGTGGTTCCCCACCCCAAGTCCTGTTTTAAAGCTTGGGGATAAAAAGATGTCTGTCATAAAACAGGCAGCTGGCAGTGATAAAGGGCAGCATACTGAAATGCGTAGCATCTATTCTTTTTTTTTTGAGACAGAGTTTTGCTCTTGTCACCCAGGCTGGAGTACAATGGCATGATCTCGGCTCACTGCAGCCTCCGCCTCCCAGGTTAAAGCGATTGTCCTGCCTCAGCCTCCTGAGTAGCTGGGATTTATAGGTGCCTGCCACCACATCTAGCTAAGTTTTATATTTTTAGTAGAGATGGGGTTTTGCCATGTTGGCCAGGCTGGTCTCAAACTCCTGACCTCAGGTGATCCGCCTGCCCCGGCCTCCCAAAGTGCTGGGATTACAGGTATGAGCCACCAGGCCTGGCCAGGTGTGTGTTCTTATACACATTGTACAGATGAGATGCAGAGAGTTTGAGCAACTTGCTTGAGGTTGTCCAGTTAATAAGAGGCACAGCCCAGATAGACGGGAATGTGTATTGACATAAGAAAAAAAAACCCTTCTATTTGGAGATTGAAGAGCTAATTCTTATAGACAGATCACTTTGTCAGTCAGAATGGATGAGTTCTACATTTCTTCCTCCGAAATGTGTTTCAGATACAGCCACAGTATGTCCTACGACATTGGTCCATTAAGAAATGGGCCCCCAAAAGTGGTGGGCTCTCATCAAAACTGGGAGAGTGTCACAGTAGGCCAGTGCAGAAATGAAAATGTCCTGTGGTCTTCTCATCCTGCTGGCCCAAGCCTTGGCCTCAACTCTCCCTTTTATTCTTATCTCCATTTGCAAACCTTTGCAGCCACCAGGCCCGGGAGTACTGGAAGGAGGTTCTATCTCCCAAACTGGGTTTTCACCAGGAACTCACTTCCAAGTCATTGTTTGTTCTGCTTCCCCTCTAGACACAACACTTACCTCCAGGAATGTACAGGCCAGCGGGAGCCCACGTACCAGCTCAACATCCATGACATCAAACTGCTCTTCCTGCGGTTCGCCATGGAGCAGTCATTCAGCGCAGATACCGGCGGGGGCGGCCGGGAGAGCAACATCCACCTGATCCCCTACATCATTCACACTGTGCTTTATGTCCTGAACACGTCAGTACCCTGTGTCCCAGGGGTGGCATCTTGCGGGCCCACCCTGCGTCCCTCTGCCCAAGATCCCTCAGCTTTTTCATAGCCTCTTGTGCTAATTCCAGAGCAAGGGTCTGGCCTAAGGCATCTTTTTTGCCGAGGTGGGGATGCTCATCTGCATTGTTTTAGGGCCACACAGAAAAACAATAAGGGGAACTTCCTTCCCCCAAACTACCCTGTCACTTACCATGGGCAGCCCAAGGCCGCAACCTTGGACCGACCTTCAGCTCACAGAGAAGCAGGAAATGCGAAAAGCCAGGCCACTAAAGTCTCTACTTCGATGCAGCTGCTACTTACTTTCCAGACTGTTCTCTTGAATGGGGGGAGGCCACAGTTTGGAGCGGCACCCACATCATTAGTCAAGGGCATATGGGCGTTACAGGTGAAGGTTTCCCATCAAGGGGATGCCACAGAACTAAGGACCCAGTTCATAAATGGAAAACTGGATTTGTTATCCCAGTTTTCTCTACAGTGAGTAATGCTTCTGGCAAGTGTGAAGGGAAAGGGAATGTTCGAGATTATCTGGGAAAGTCAACCAACAAGGAAGGCAGCCAGGAAAAAAAAGAGATTGGTAGTTTTATCCATATGCACATTATAGGAAAGTCAGGTTGGTACCTGAAAGTGTAATTTTAAAGAAGCACTTAGGCCAGGCACGGTGGGTCACCTGTATCCTCCCAGCACTTTGGGAGGCCAAGGTAGGAGGATTGCTTGAGCCCAGCCTAGGCATCATAGTAAGGCTGTCTTATTTTTTTAAAAAAATTGTTTTTAATTACCCAGGTGGGGTGGCACACACCTGTAGTCCCAGCTGTTCAGGAGGCTGAGGTAAGAGATGGCTTGAGCCAAGGAGGTTGTGGCTGCAGTGGATGGTGATCACACCACTGCCCTCCAGCCAAGCCAATAGCAAGACCAGGTCTCAAAGAGAAAAAGCAATTAGGAGATTGACTATCCTTTAGTTCTTCCATTTAATTCACTGTTTCATACTTGTAGGCCCCATCTCCTAGGAAGAGGCTTACGGTTCCCTGTTGAAAGGTTGTGTACGGCTCACCCCAGGTGGCTGCAGCACAGTTTAGGCAACAGGACAATCCTTCTCTTGTCTTTTCTGGTTCTTTCTCTTCAACAATGTTATTTTTTCCTTCCCTCCCATTTCCTTATGAGATAAAAGGCTGACCTCGAGACCATAGGCTTCATTGTTAAAACACGCAGGGGCAAGTTGACATCAGAGTGCATTACATCATCTGCTGAACTGCTTAGACTGGCGGCACAGACCTTCCCACTGTCCAAACTTTCTTCCTCTAATCAGTGTTCCTGGGGCCCTGGACAGAGCCCTTGGTGACTTTGTCAGTATGTTTCTGAAAAACCAGACATTGGTGATTAATGCTCAAGTTCCTTAATTGGAGAGGGAATTGGCTCTCTCGCAGTTACTTTGGTCAGCCAGAGGCTGACCCAGCAGCTTCACAGAGAGGCCCTGCTTCTCGGCCACAGACTGTTTTCCGATTGACAGCTAGCCAGTTGACATTGGTGGGAACCCGGTCACAGGGAGATTGAGTGCCTTTGGTGGAATATTGTGTATGGAGGCAAGCATGTCATAGCATGGCCACCGTAAGCCAGACTAGAGCCTGAGGAGGCCCTGCAGTGGCCAAAAGCCTCAGATTCCTCAGAGGGCTGGAAGATCAAGTTGAGTGTATCTATCCTTGCCCATCTGCAGGCAGCAGAAGCAGGCAAGGTGTCCTTGCACCCTTTCCTCCTGCTGTCCCAGAGTCCAGCCTCTGTGCCTGGGCCACCTGTAACCTGGTAACTTGGGTTCTAGTGTTGTGTTTGTCATCACCTCTCCCCACCATTGCCGCATGGAGTTAGGATAGGGCATCAAGCATTCACAGCATGAGAGCACTGTCCAGGTTCTAAGGACAGAGTGCACCCAGAAGTGTGTCATCACGAAGGACTTAAGTCACCTCTCAGAGCTGATTCCGTGACCTCTTGTCAAAGCGTGGAGAAGGAGGTAGGGTCAAGATGGACAGGCTTCCTGGCTTCAGAGCCCAGCTCTTTCCACATTGTGAGACTTTGGCAAAATCCTTGCCTCCTGTGTACTGCAGTTTCCCTTTTCTTTAAAATTGGGATAGTGGTGGTATCTGTCCCATAGAGTTTTTGTGAAGACCAAGTGAAATAATCCCGTAAAGTACTTCGAGCAGTGCCTGGCACTGAGTTTGCTGTGATCATCATCATCATCATCATCATCATCATTGCAACTTAGGATTCATGAGGACAAGAAGCAGTGCTCATCTGGAAGAAACTGTTTTAGCGGAGGTGGGAGGACCTAGAGCGTAAGAAGACGAACCGGAAGAGGGAACCTAGGAAAGGAACCACATGCAAATTTAGTGCAAACCATGTCAACATAACGAGAATGTGGAGCAAAGGAGTCAGGCTGTGGAACCGCCAGGGAATCTTGATTCATTTTTCGGCCTCGTCATGTACTAGCTTGGTGACTTTGGGCAAGTCACTTCACTCTTCTGGGCCTCTGGAGTTATTAGCACAGTTCCATGTTGGGGTGTTGTGAATGGCCGTGATATATGGTGCTCAGGAACCAGTAGTTGCCTGGAATTGTGTCGGACTGGAAGCAGGAGCCAGGGAAGAAGGGAAGATGCCACAAACAAGGGCCTGGAAGGGGGAAGAAGAGCATGGATTGTCAGAGAGTGGGAGGAGTAGTCAAGGATGGGGTGGGGAGTGTTCAGATGTCACAAGACAATGACAAATTGAGCAAATTCTTCCTACTCTTGCTGCCAGGCCCTGCTTCCACCCACCTCTTATTTTATCGTGCCCCTTTTCTCCTAGAACCCGAGCAACTTCCCGAGAAGAGAAGAACCTCCAAGGCTTTCTGGAGCAGCCCAAGGAGAAGTGGGTGGAGAGTGCCTTTGAAGTGGACGGGCCCCACTATTTCACAGTCCTAGCCCTTCACATCCTGCCCCCTGAGCAGTGGAGAGCCACACGTGTGGAAATCTTGCGGAGGCTGCTGGTGACCTCGCAGGCCCGGTCAGTGGCTCCAGGTGGAGCTACCAGGTCAGTACCTGCTTCGGGAAGCTGTTGCTGATTATTTCCGAGAATTGGTGTTGAAAAGCTGTGTAGCGGTACTCTTGTGCTAGGTGAGGGCATGCTTTGTGACTGCGGCAGTTAACACCAGCCTTCTCCCTTCTCAGTCAGTCACGTCGAGAGTCTAGGCTGATGGCCGGCAGTTGCCTGGTCACTTCTGGGTGTTGTGTTCAGCTACTAGCAAGGTAGAGCCAGGCTTACCTGCTGTAGAAAATGTTAGAGAGGAGGGCAGCCAGGCACAGGGTGACACAACCCATGACACGATCAGAGCTGGCGGGGCTAAGAATAGTAGTCAGGTTTCCGAATCTTGCTGGCCTTGGCGTAAACCAGGAAAGTTTCGGTGTGCCCACATGGAATAGTTTTCTAAGAATTAAAGCTCGTTGTCACTCTCTTTCCTTGATTACGTTCATATCCCATGCATCCCACATTCCATGAAGCTTCCTTCTTCTAGGCTATTCTCCTATACATGTGGACACTTCCCCAAGAAAGCGTGTCAGGAAGGAAGTGGTCTTTGTTTTATGACCCTGGGCTGTGATTTGGGTCAGACGGGAAGTGTCTTGAGAGAAACAGCTGTAAACAACCACCACAGCAGCCCTTTGAGGACCCACATGGATGGGGCAGAGGGGACCCCAAGGGCACCGCTTGGGCTGCCAGTGACCCCAGACAGTCTCTGCCTGTCCTGGAGAGCTACAGAGCAGACTCTGGGTTTGGCAGTTTGCTTCTGTACCTCGAGTGAAATGTTCCTCTGCTTCATTTCTGGAAAATCTGGAATCCTGCTTTAGTTCAGGATTCAAGGGATCATGTCTATATTTGTAGGCCAGCCAGAGAGCAGAGGGAAACTTTTGGGGCCCTGAAGACAGGCCAAGTGGAAATAGCGTGTGCCTTCACTGGCACACCTGGCGTCTTTACTTCCATTGCTCTGATTTATCAGGCATTACTGATCTGTGGGCACTTGCCGCCCCCAGAGAGCCTGGGTTGGAGCTGTACTGTTGCATCTGGCTTGTACCAGATTGTTTGTGGAGAGTGGGGGGGGCAAGTCTTGTTAGATTCCTAGGTAATCCCTGCCCCCATTCCTAACATACCCCTTTCCAGTATTTGCCAAGAGACTGAATTAATAGTTAACTAGCTGCCGGAAATCAGAAGTTAGATCTTGAGAATACTAAGTTGATAAGTCAGGCTCAGCCTGCATCCATTTGCTGCATCCACAGCAAATAGAGTGGCCGTTTATTGGGCAGTCTCTCCCTGGCAGGTGTGAAATCTGAACCCACAGGAGCTGTTTTGCTCTCAGTCAGGAGACTAGCATTCATTACTATCTTAGGCAGTTAAGGAAAAGCTGATTTGGTCACAGCTTAATTAGGAAATCCAGTGTGAGCTACATTCATGAGTTGCTGTTTTCTCTGTAGCAGTTTAGTCACCTTTACTAATTAGCTTTAAATAATTAAGTTGGGCAGGGTCACTCAAGATTGCTGCTTACCAAAGCAAAACAGCCACAGCACAGGGCCATACATGGCCATGGTCAGGCATCAGGCAGACTAGGAAAGGCACTGAGGGTTTCTCGATACTGGGAGGAGACCCATGGAGGAGAGCCCACAGCAGGAAGGGCGTTTAGAGGTATCATCCCAGCGCTGGGGCAGCCTCAGTGGCGGCAGTTTCTGTCCTAAGTCCTGTAAGTCATGGGGTGAAGGGCAGTAGCAGAGACACAGAAATGGAGCCCAGCAGAAGCTGACCTCCTCTGCACATTTGACATTCAGAAAAAAGATCCTCTGCCAGGAACTTGCAAGTGTGGAGACCTGGGACGTCCTCAGGCTTCTATCAGAACTTGATCTGTTCTCTTACCTGCCAGGGTGCAGAGGTGCAGAGAAATGTATTCTTGTCCTTATCCACAGGTCCACCTTCTAGGACTGTAGACTGCAGTATTGTCACATGAAAGCAGGAGAGAAAGTGGGGGCTTGGGAAGGTACTGGGGCAGAGGGAGGCCACAGGAAGTATATTTTAGTGGAGAGGGAATTGTCCTCACTTATTATTTGTTTTTTGTGAGTTAAACATTTATTGAATGCAGGTGTGGATGGCCTGTCTCATGCTAGGCAGTCCCTTCACTTGAGGCCCATAGTTTTAGCTTCTATAATAAATACCATCTGTGCTGTCTTGTTTTATGATTCTTATATATGCCCATGCATTTTAATACTAAACATTTTAATACATGTCCCTTTAGTGATGGATGAGTCCCAGTGTGTTCTGAGATGCAGAATACTCTGTGACAAGGATTCACCCAGGCTTTACTTGCTTATTACAGATGTGATGGCTGTTGGCAGACAAAACCTCCATCGAGCTTGGGTGGTAGAAACTGAATCCCAACACTGATATTTCACTGCCTGTGCCGAGGGGAGCCTGGTCTTTCTGTATTTCATACTAGCTCTACCTGGTGTAATCATCCCTCAAACCAAGAGTGCCTACTGAGAAGGCAGTGGACACTGTTAGAGGCAGTTCCCCACCTCCCCACCCCGCCGCCCCATATTCCAAGGAACTGGTTGGTCTTTAATCCTGAACTGAATCACTGGATTAAGTAGCAACGATACTGGTTAGAAATAATGGGGTGTGGTGAGCAGCTTGGATTATCCCAGGATTTGGGTGATGTCAGGGTAGCTGCATGCCCCATCTTACACATTACCATTGCTTCACACCAAGTTCCTAGCAGCTTGCTGCTGTGTAACACAGCACATGTTTGACAAGTTACTGTGTTTGACTGGTTTAATAAATGTCTGTGTTTGCTGGCTTTTAAGAAATGTCTCCTGGTGGGAATGCAAAGACTGACTTGGAACCTTGTTCCCTACCTCATTTATCAGGTTCCATCAAATTCCAAGAGCTTGTGGGGCCCAAACACAAGGGACACGTGGGACTCCTTTGCCTTTCTTTGAGTCAGTAGCCTCGTGTCTGTCACATCTGCCCTGGTTATGTCTCCCCCAGTTCCGTTTTACCCTGCTGGAAGATGAGCACTGAGAGACTCAGATGAATTTCATGGAGCTTTTTTATAATCAATAAACTTCTGGGTCACAGGGTTCCAGAGGTTCTTGCCCACAGTTGCTGTTTTCCAAGCAGAAGGCAAGTTGCTGGAACTATGAGATGCATAGACCACTGTGACTCTTCCCTTCCTCCCAGAATGCCTTGTGAGTATCCTCCTAGGGACTTGATGTGATGGAATTGGATTTTCTTTTCCAGGCTGACAGATAAGGCAGTGAAGGACTATTCTGCCTACCGTTCTTCCCTTCTCTTTTGGGCCCTCGTCGATCTCATTTACAACATGTTTAAGGTAAGGAGGCTGTCAGAGGCCCAGTAGCTTTCAGCAAGGGTGTAAAATGTCTGCACTCCTGTCCCTGACCCTGCCTCAGTGCCCACATGGCTGCTCCTCTGCTGGCTTAGGGGCACTTTGTTCCTAGAAACAAATAGCCCCAACTGTGGGAGGGATTGACACTGGCGCCTTGCGCCTTGCGCCTGTGAGGTACATTGTGAAGTACATTTGTTTTGTTGTTGTTGTTTTTGAGATGGAGTTTGCTTTTGTTGCCCAGGCTGGAGTGCAGTGGCATGATCTTGGCTCACTGCAATCTCCACCTCCCAGGTTCAATTGATTCTCTTGCCTCAGCCTCAAGTAGCTGGGATTACAGGTGTGAACCACCACACCTGGCTAATTTTGTATTTTTAGTGGAGACAGGGTTTCACCATGTTGGCCAGGCTGGTCTCGAACTCCTGACTTCAAGTGACCCATCCACCTCAGCCTCCCAAAGTGCTGCTGTTACCGTGCTCAGCCCACATTTGTAGCTGAGATCACTCCCGTCACCTGCTCCTGAGTCTGCTCCAGGCTCACCTGTGCAGGAGGATCTTCCCTCCTGGGTCTCTCTTTGCTGCTGTTGCCATGCCATCGGGATAAGCTCTGTTGCCCTGAGTGAGTCTGACTTACCACAGCCAGCTTATATAACAGGACCCTCCTCTCTGCCTTGAGAGAATCTGAGTTTTTGAGTTGGTTCCTTTCATCATCGAAATGAAACAGCTCTTGGAAGCACATCGACAAGTTCCTTTGTTCTGGGGGATGCAGATGGGAAGTGTACGGGAGGGAATGCAGCCACTTGTTGGAGCCTGTAGGTTCAGGTGACACAGCGCCTAATAAGGGAGCCCTAGGAGGAATGAAGTGAAATTCTGTTGTTCCTGGAGACAAAACACACGCTCCAGGGTGTATGTTAGTATGCTCTGACATAGGCTGGGAGCACTGTCCTTCGAGGGGCTGAAATGGCCTGCCTGGCTTGAGGCGAAAGATGAGGCAGCAGTAGGTAACCTACCTCCCTGTCTCCTGTTGATTCTCGTAGAAGGTGCCTACCAGTAATACAGAGGGAGGCTGGTCCTGCTCTCTCGCTGAGTACATCCGCCACAATGACATGCCTATTTACGAAGCTGCCGACAAAGCCCTGAAAACCTTCCAGGAGGAGTTCATGCCGGTGGAAACCTTCTCAGAGTTCCTCGACGTGGCTGGTCAGTGTCAAGGTTTTATCTTTTAAAGATCCTCCGCGGCAAACCCCCATGTCTTCCTCAGTATGAGCCAGCCTGTCAGCTGCCACCAAAAGCCCTGGGAAAGATGTGTACATAGCAAGTCGCCAGTAACAAGAACAGCAGCACGTGTACTGAGCACTCCCTCTTTCCCAGGGTGGTGCTGTTCACTGGACGTGATCTCAGCCCTTGAGGCAACCCTATATGAGGCAGGAGCTTTGCTTATCCCCATTTTATAGATGCGGTAAATGAGGCTTTGGGTGTCAAATACGTGGCCAAGGGAGCATAGCTAAAAAGGGACCCTTTTTGAGTCTGTTTTTTAATGGCAGTTCAGAGAATTCACATGCAAATGGGAATACCCTTGTCTTCCTCCTGAGTCTGTTGTTACAGCTGCCCCAGGGAGACAAGGGAAACCAAGCAGGGCCTCTCTGAACCGTGGGTGTGGGAGACGTGGTCAGACAGTTCCTTATCCTACTGCTAGTAAAATTGAAATCTTTGTGTAACAAATTTGTCATTCTGATTGCAAACAAACACATTAGAGTTGGTTTGGATTTCATAACCAAGCACCAAGTGACAGCAGGGGAGGTGACCTGGCCCATGCCTGGGAAATCCACGTAGGGCTAAAAAAGACAGTGCCCTCTCCGGGTGTGGGCGCTGTGGCCCCTGTCAGAGCGCCCTCCCTGTGAAGGTCAGCTCCCCAGAGCCAAAGCACAGGTAACCAAACCTGCCAGCTTTTTTTTTTTTTTTTTGCCAGCTCTTTTTTGTGAACTTGTTTCACTTTCTTCTGGTGTTCATTGTGGGAATTTTGTAAAGTATAAAGAAGCAGGAAGACAAACTCCCCCCATATCCTACTCTTAGGATAATGCCTCTGCTAACGTTTTCTCTGTCTTGTTATCCTCTGGGAATGAGACCCACTAAAGGGTCAGAGTGTAGCTCAGTATGAAATCCTCTTTCTTCCCAGCTCAGAGCCAGCTGACCGATTCTCCCAAAAAGCCCTGTCCGTCTGCATTGGCCACCCCTTGCAGTGGCCTCAGTGGAGGCTCTGTGCTGGGATGGCCTTTGTCAGCTTGGTGCCTGCCTCTACGTCTGGGTGGCCTGTGCTAACGCTGCTCACCGCCGTGTGTGTGTTAACCCTACCACCTCCACCTCTTTACAGCTCTGCTGGCACGGTTTCAGTCTAGACGTTTAACCAGCATGATACCTTAGCAGATGCCTTGTGTTCTTCCCAGAAAGTCAGCCCTGGGAACAAGTGGGCTGCCAAAGTCGTCAGTGCTGGGCCCTGTGCCTGTTGCATGAGCATGTGTCCGTGAATGTGTGGAAGTTGGAGCCAGTGAGAGGAGGAGGAGGTGGGCAGGGGAAGGAGGGTCCCCTGGGCTCAAGCTCCATGCCAGCCCTGAGCTGGTGGCAGCACCCCTGGCCTGCAGCCAGGGAGAGCCAGAGCCCTTGCCAGGCAGTGAGCCTCTGTGCCTTCCCCTCCTAGGTCAGGTTTTGACAGCACCACTTTATTACTTTGTTTAAGCTGTTAGAAAATTTGAGAACAGCAGACACACCCAATTCAAACGTGAGAACAAAAACACCTTCCAAAGCCAACTGGGGATGATCTGAGCCGCTCTCCTTCCTTGAGCCCAGATGCCTGGGCGCCGACTTCAGTTCAGAGGCTGCCAGGCCTTTGGGGTTAGCAGCTCTGTGGCTGTTTTACGAGAGGCTTCTGTGTCTCCTGTCCTCTGATCGGTGACGGAGGTGTGGGGCTACCAAGGCCTTGGTGCAGCTCGAGCACCTTCTGTGTGTGAGGCACTTGCACACGCAGGGCCTCATTTAATCCCCGCAGTGGGGCTGCAGGGCTTCTCCCTGTCTCTATTTGATGGTTGAGGGATTGGAGCTCCTGAGCTTTGACAACCTGCTCCGGAGCCCAGGACCCACCATCGGATCAGAGCTCAGAAGAAGCTGGGGTCCTGCTACCCTGCTGTACTCCTCCCAGCCCGGAAGGGCAGGGCTTTCTTTGGTCCTAGCTCCCTTTGAGAAGATGGTTAAGACTGCGGGCACTCTCCCTTCAGAACCTGCCTTCCCTTTCGCACTGGGGGTCAGTGGATTTGCACAGCCCTGGTGTCCCTGAGCCAGGTGTGGCCTCTGCCACTTCACCCCCAGCAGCAGTGCCTGCTTCTGGAATAGGACTCCTACGGAACAGGGTTTTGCTTGATGACTGTCTCCCCGGTCATGCTGGTATCCAGTGAGCAGCTGGGCCAGAGCTTGTTGGGGCACAGTGGTGTGTGCTCTGCTAGATGCGGCAGCTGTGACTCAGGGGGAATGAGGGCTGCACGCCCGCACCTGACGCACCTCTGCCTGCTGTGCTTTGCAGGTCTTTTATCAGAAATAACTGATCCCGAGAGCTTCCTGAAGGACCTGTTGAACTCAGTCCCCTGACCACCACACAGAAGCTGCAGTGGCGAAGATAGAAGCTGGCCTGCCTTCCAACCTCTTCTCCCTCCTCGTGCGTTGAGCTCCCCCCGAGGGATGCTACATTGTGACCCTGCCCTCCCCTCTCTCATTTTTCTTGGCGTGGCTTGGGGTTTTTAGGCTTCCTGTTTTATCCTGTGTGTGTGGTGCACTAGCTCTGAAGTTGTCTGTAACCCACGCCATCAGCCGGCCTGTACATACCGAGGAGCCGTGAGTTGCCCTGGCCAGCCTCATACGTGAGTGTGCACATCTTGAGGAATAAACAAACGACTTAACACACATGAAAAAGAAGGTGTTGCCTGCTGCTTCAGCTCATCCTCAGTGGCACTGGCCACATGGTTTCCCTTGAATGCACAGCCATTTCCTGCATCAGCACGGGAAGACTCATGTCAGAGTCGGTCTCCAGGCCTGCTCTCAGCGCCAAATGGAACCTGTCTATTTTTGGCCAGCGAGTTGGGGCACCACATTTGATGGTTATGGTTTTTCCCAAAACAAAGCCCATGCCTTGCTCTTAATTTTTGGCTTTAAGAGCTGGAACCCAAAGACACGTGGAGCCCAGTGGTTTTTAGCCCTGGGCCAAAGGGAGGCTCCATGGAGCAGGGCACACTCTTGTTGGACCACAAAGGCCTTGGGAGAATTTGACATTCTCATGCTAGCCACGAATCAGGAATCCCTTGGTGACTTCTCTTCAGGACTGTCATATTAAGAGAGGCCTGGGGCAGAATTAGGATCAGAATAAAGAGCATGGCTGCTATTTACATTGCCAGGCACCCAGTATGTCTTAATTCTAATCTCTTCAAGAAAAAGGGCCCATGAGCTAGAGCTGCCCGCCCAAGGGCTCCCAGCCAGGAGTTGTGGAGTTGTCAGGTTTGTGCCTCTGAAGCTGTGTCCTGACCGCTGTGGCTGCTGCTCCTGGAGGCCTCTGAGACCTGCTCCCCTACATTCATTGGCAGCAGGATTCCCCAGAGCCTCTCCCCAGCCTTCTGGAAAAGGTTCACCCAGACATTGTCTCGTGGGAGGGAGAGCTCGCTAATGTCTGTCTCTTGTTCTTTGCGGGCCACTCAGCCAACTGACATCGGCCTCCCCTGTCTAGATGGTCAGTCAGTTTCTGTGGCTCATTCCTCAAGGCAGATCATCTGGGACTCGGGGGTGGTTGGGGGCGGGGGGTGGTGGCGGGGGTGGACAGCGGCCTCTAGGCTCCTGTAGACTTACACAGCCAGGACTTCTCGTCCCTCCCCAGAGCTCTTGACTGGGCAGCCACAAGCAGGCATGAGTGTCGTGCCTGGACTAAGCTGGAGAGACAGGCCATTTGTGGCAAGGGCCCAGCTGGAAACCGTGGCAGACCATGCATGTGCTGGCTTGCATGAGCACACTTCAGTGTTTGTGTTGGGGACACTGGGCTTCTGAGAGACTGGCGTGGCTCCAGGGAGGGGAGCAGCATGGTTGAAGCGCAGCCGGGCACTCACTCCTTTGTTCTGATCCCAGCTCCACTGCCTGCTGTGTCTCCAGACTCCTCACCTGTAAAATGGGATTTTGGTGTCTTTGTGGCAGAAGGGTGCTGAGGTTTCCATGAGCCAATCTGCCTGCCATGTAGTAACTAGTAGCTTCTCTCACTGTTAGTGAACTTGTTTTAGTCCAAAGGAAGGCACCCATACCTCAGGTGAAGTCCAGGTGAGTTCAGTGAGGACGATGGAGACCCTGGTCTGGGCACCTTCCACCTCACACTGGGAATGCCACAGGCTCGCTCCCGCTCCGTGTCTATGGTCGCCCACTTTCTGGTGGTCTCCGAGACCGATTCAGGTGTTAGGAGTCTGTGATCGTTGTTACATAACCTCCTTGTGAGGAATAAAGTGGAGCAGCCTCATCCGGGACAGCGAAGCAAGGAGGGAGCATGGGGAGCAGCCTCGTGAGCAGGTGGCATGAGGCCTGCGTGGCAGAAGCCGGGCTCACTGCCTTATGTGGCACAGGAAGGCTCAGCGTGTCTGTCATCACACCTCAGGGCAGTGAGTGTGGACCTGGTGCCTTCAGAAGCCCGCCCAAGGCCTGATGCTCTGGCCCAAAGAGGTGGAGTCACCAAAGCTCATTCATTACAAGGTGTTTACTTATTTTTGTCTGCCCTGCATTTGTTTTATTTCCTGCAAAGCCCTCAGAGGATGTTGGCCCCAGCCCAAACACATCTTGTTTTCACTGTTAGAGCTTTTCAGGGTGCTTCCAGTGTCTCTGCCAAGCTCCAGACAAGCTGCTGACACAGCAGCCATGAGGTCTGTGACAGGTTCCAGGGGGTGCTTTCTGCCTGCCCCAGCAGGAGGGGAGACTGGTCTGGGGAGAGAGCCGCACCCCTCCAGGCCCAGGTCTCACGACAGGAGCATTGAAGGGCGCTGAGCAAAACGCCACTTAGCCCACCCCTGTCCTGCACCATTATCTGGGCCCATTGCTTCTTGGGTCCCTGCCTTTCTCAAAAGGCAGCCCCAGTTGGGGAGTAAAGTTGATTCTGGACTGGCTATGCCTAATGATGGCTGCAATTTTAATCCCATAAAGTTCGAGTTCAGCGATCGAGTTGGGGCGGCAGCCTCAACACTTTCCTTGTAGAACGGCTGGAGCCTCTGGTGTGCCTCAGTCAGCAGCCGCCCTGGTGCCTGGCTGTCCACGTGTGTTGATTTAGAGGTGAAAAGGGAGGCCCCTGCTTGCACCTCCCCTCCCCAGGGGTGTTTGTTGGGACACCAGGGGCTGTGCTGGCTTCTCTGCATTTCACTCTTGCATCACCTCTGTATGTTAGGTGGTGGAATTTCTGCCTCACCGATAGGGAGGCGGCCCCCAGAGGAGGTAACTCGCCTGCTAGGGAGTCGGGAGCTGAGAGGTCTGTGGGATTCCAAAGATGACTCTATGTCATGCGACTTCATTTGTTCCTTCCAGCATGTAGCAAGTGTCTCCTCGGTGCCAGGGACTTACCAGAGGCCGAGGGCACAGCGTGCATCAAACAGGCTCTGTCCTCATGGAGAGGAGAGAGTCAGAACTGAGGGGTTCCACGGATATAAGGTGTGAGGTGGCTGTGTGGAGTGCAGACAGCAGGGACAGACTGGCTGGCGTGCAGCTCGTGTGGGGTGGCTGCGTTGGTCCGCCACCAGCTCCAACCTGCCCATGGCCAGATTCTCACACCTGATGGCAGTGGGCATCCTCTGGTCACTTAGCAAACCTCAGCTGGGTACCTAGTCTGTGCTTGGCTGTTAGCATGGGGTTCCCTTGGGGGACTGGGAGAAGCCAGAAAAGAGACTTACTTTGCTCTCTAGACTGCAGAATATAGCCCAGAGCCAGCCACTTCCCACCACCTTTGCACCCAGACCCAGCTCCTGGATCTCCCCTTCCTTCCCCACTGCAGTCCATTCTCCAGCACCCAGAGCAGTCACTTACAAACACGGTGCAGGCGGTTGCCCCTGAAACTCTTTTTCCTCCCAGACCCTCTCCCGCCTCCCTCCTCCCCACTCCCTCTCAGCCCCACTCCACACACTTGCTCCCTGCTTCACGCTTTGTCCCGTTAGCCCAGATGTCTGTGTGGCTCCTCTCCTCCCTCCACTCAGGTCTCAGAGATGCTCCGGAGCCCCTGTCTGTGAGAGCAGTGCCCTCCGGGGCCCTCTGCCCCTGCCTACCCCGTTTCAGTCCTTTCTACCAGCCTTGTGCCGCTGTGGTCAGCTCACACGTTCATGTGCATGTCCTGCTCATCATCTCTCTCAGCTGCGTCCTGCTCGTGGCTTTTATTTCCTGCTGCATCTGCGGGGCCTAGAACAGTGCTTGGTGCATAGAGGACACTCGGGGAGTGTTTAACTGAATGATGGGACTATGTCAGGATCTCCCAGGGAACGGTCAGCCATCCCCACAAGCCTATGCCTGACTCTGGAATGGTGGGCAGTAAATCCAAACCTGATTCCAGTGACAGGCTGGAGCCAGTGGGCCCGTGAGGGTCCTCCCACACCTTCCCCTGCCTGTCGTTGTTCTGCAGCAAGTCTGGGCTGAGCCCCTGGAACATGCTGGAGGCAGAGCTGGCTCAGACCCAGGCTGGAGTGCCCAAGTCAGGGCTCCCACCGGGCTCCTGCTCCAGGCTGTACCCCTTCCTCCTCTTGCCACAGATCAGCTTGGCAGGGCCATTCCTCTGCCTGGAGCTAGGTCTGGTCTCCCACACCATAGCAAGTCCTTTTCAAGCTGGAGTGGTTCCCAGCAGCACCAACAGGATGGCAGAGATGGACAAGGTAAGTCCCCAGACTGAGCTCCCTGGAGCTGGCTGCTGACACCTACCTGGGGTGAGGCCCTGGGCGAATCCCCTGCCTTCTCTTGGTGCCCTTGGTCTTCTTTCTGCCCCCAGCCTGGCTGGTGGCTCAGATGCAATAGGGGCAGAGCAGCCTCTGAGCAGGAAGGGAGCTGAGGACTGGCCTTTATTCAGGGCCTGCATGAAGCTGATGCTTCACTTGCGGCACGTCCTTCCACCCTTGGGCACGTCCTTCCACCTTTGTGGCACGTCCTTCCACCCTTACGGCTGTCCAGAGCAGCAGGTGGATCCCCTTCTCCACACAAACAGGTGCAGAAAGGCTGATGACCCACCCAGGCTCACACAGCGAAGGGTGGAGCCATGATGAGAACTCACGTGTGTTTGGCTCTGAAAGCCCCTCTTCAGAGAGAGCGTTGCTGATGGTGGAGGAGGGGGAGAACTGGCTGCTGTTAATGCTGGGGTGCGAGGACCAGGAGGAAGAGGGTGAAGGCTGACTTGGGGAGTGTGACCCAGTTTCCTCCCTCCTGTCCCCATGACCATCAGGGGCAGCCTCAGGGCCCTGTACCCGAGGATGCAGCTGAGAGGTACATATCCTAGAGCTGCATTGCACGGGCTCTGAATTTGGGATGCCACTCCCCATCAGAGGGCAAGGGCCACATGGTGTAGAGGCAAGACCAAGGGCTCAGAGGGAGCCCAGCTCTGCTGTGGGACTGTAGCAAGCTTCCTACCCTGTCTGTGCGGGTGAGGATTCGAGGAACAGATGCAGAAGGTCCTAGAACCTGGCACAGCCCAGGCACAGCTGGCTTTAGCTGTGACCGTCAGTGTTACTGTATCAGTGTGTCAAGGAATCAGAGATGACAGGGCTTGGTGGCTCACGCCTATAATCCCAGCACTTTGGGAGACCAAGGCAGGCAGATCACTTGAGGCCAGGAGTTTGAGACCAACCTGGTCAATGTGGTGAAACTCCATCTCTACTAAAAATACAAAAGTTAGCCTGGCATGGTGGTGGGTGCCTGTAATCCCAGCTACTCGGGAGGCTGAGGCAGGAGAATTGTTTGAACCCTGGGAGGCAGAGGTTGTAGTGAGCCGAGATCATGCTACTGCACTCCAGCCTGGGTGATAGAGCAAGATTCCATCTCAAAACAACAACTAGAATCACAGAATGTCTGGAGGAGGATCCCTTGATCTCCACATCACCCCTCTCCTTGTCTTATGGGTGTTAGGACAGATGCCCACCCTGACACACACACACACACACACACACACACACACACACACACACACACGCCTTCCAGGCATGCACGAGTTCTGTTGCTTTGGTTACATCTGTTTGCTTTCCATGGTTTATTTCTGTCTCTCTGCTCTGTGTTTCCTGCCCTGGGGGTGGGGGGAGCTACTCCCTTCCTACCCTTCCTTATCTATTGCTCAGTCTTGGAGCTTGGCCTGGTCCCCGTGTATTGCCAACTCACCCCCTTGGCCTCCTTGACAAGCTGGGAGAAG